TCCGCAGATGTTCGCTCCTTCATAAGGGGTTGTGACCTCTGTGCAAGAAGAAAGTCCCCTGCGAAGAAAGGGATTGCACCCTTGCAACAATATAGAGTGGGAGTGCCTGTAGAGAGAGTGGCCATAGATTTGCTCGGGCCACTACCCAAAACGGAGAGTGGGAACCAGTGGATTCTCGTAGTGGGTGATTACTGTACAAAATGGATGGAGGCCTATCCATTGCCTGACGCAACGGCGGGTACAGTAGCACTCAAACTGGTGCAAGAGTTCGTGTGTAGATTTGGAGTACCACAAGAACTCCATTCTGATCAGGGCACCAATTTTGAGTCAGAAGTCTTCACAGAAATGTGCAAGGTCTTAGGAATCGCAAAGACAAGAACGACAGCATACAATCCTAAATCGGATGGTATGGTCGAACGGTTTAACAAGACACTAGTAAACATGGTGGCTGTGCTGATTGACCCACAGAAGAGGCATAGAGACTGGGATAGATTCCTCCCTTATGCAACCTTTGCGTATAGATGCACCCCACAAGACTCCACAGGGGAGTCCCCCAATATAATGATGTTGGGGCGAGAAGTCAGTATACCAGTTGACCTGGTCACCGGTAGTCCAGAGACAGGGTTTGACACTCGGACAGACTTTGCAGAAGAGTTGCGAAGAAATTTGCAGAGTGCACACCAGAGGGCTAGGGACTGTCTAGGGAAAAACTCCCAAAGACAGAAGAGAAACTATGACAGAAGAGCCACCCATAAAGGGTTGAAAGAAGGAGAGTTTGCCTGGCTACACAACCCGGCTAAGAAGAAACAGTTGTCCCCTAAATTGCAGTTGAGATGGGAGGGACCGTGGCTGATAGTTAGGAGATTGTCAGATGTGACCTTCCGAATACAGATACGGAAAGGGGGAAAAATGAAAGTGGTGCATTCTGACAGACTGAAGCCATACCAGGGTGAGAAACTGGTACCCTGGAGTCACTCTCCAAAAGCATGTGAAGAAGCTCCTCAGATTGATAGAGCAGGAGAAAACCCTCGAGTCGAAGTGACAGAAGAGACTCCTCATGTTGAGGAAACGGAGAAAACAGAGCAAATAGAGCAAGAAGAACCGGAAATAGAAGCTCCGGTAGAAAATGGGGATGTTCAGATAGAGGTTGACCCCATCAGAGTGCCAGAGAGGACCAGTATGTCTCGGAGGAACCCGAGGAGAGAGCACCGCCTGCCTGTAAGATACCGGTAGAGTGGCAGACTTTGACTCATCTATGCCACCCCTAGAAGAGATGACCCCCTCCCCCTCCCGCAGTGGTCGTGACTCACCTCCGTTGAAGATGAGGAGACTCGTCACAATCCGAGTAAGGACGACCACCGAAGTGATCTACCGTAACAGGGTCGTTAAGAGAAACGACGAGGTCATCGAGCATCTGCGAGAGACAGAGCTGGACGCTGCACTGGATGATCCTCAGGAGGACGGGACCCAACTAGCAAGTCCTTAGGGCCAGTTAAAGTTTATCTAGTGTTAGTAGTTGTTTTTAGTTTTAACAGTTTTGTCGGTGCTATTTAGTGTGTAAAAGAGAAGTTATTTTTTTATCTTTACAGTTTTAAAATCAGTGATTATTGCCTTCATCTTGTTTGAAAAGAAATCCGTTCATTGGTTAAAATGATTCCCAGTTAATTTTGGATACTATTCGAGTTTAAGTGTGATTTTCCATCTGTCTTATCCCTAAAATTATCTGCATAAATTGTAATCTGTTGATACAAAACATTTCCTTGTATAAAAAGAAAAACAATCAGGAAAAGTGCTTTCATCTTTGCCGAAGATTCATGATTTCTAAATAAATTGTGTGGTTCAAAGTCATTGTAAGGAAAACTTTACCATGTATAAGCTAAGTTTTGTATAAAGAAAAACAAAGACTTAGTTTTGTGTAAAGAAGAACATAACATTAGTTTTGTGTAAAGGAAAACATAAGATTAATGCTGTATAAAGGAAAACCTAAGCTTTATTCTGTGCTAAAGGAACACATAAGTTTAGTTTTGTATAAAGGAACACATAAGTTTAGTTTTGTATAAAGGAACACATAAGTTTAGTTTTGTATAAAGAGAAATCATAAGTTTAGTTTTCTATAACGAAAAACATAAGAGTGAATTTTACGTGAAGTTTAAAAAGCTTGTGCATATTTAATTAGCTAGACTGGTGCCGGTCACCCATCTCGTGACTGGGTTCGAGCTGGTTTGGACTGGGACAGTCCAAGCTCTGCTCGGGCCTGTGTGGCGTGATGGGGTGGGCCGACACCAGTCTAATTCCCCTTATTTGGTAGTGTTTACTTGTAATTTCTTGGCAAGGAAGTCAGGTCGTGTCAGCGGACAATGTCTCGTGGTTTTGGCGGGAGTGGCCGCCAATCGGAGCGCGCTCGCTGTCGCTGGGCGGGGCGAGGCAGGCCGTGACCGCACTTGCGATCTGTGTTTCCTGTATCCGCGTATGCGTGATTGGTGTTACCGGGCAGAGGTGAAGGGTTGGCGGCCAATCACGGCGTGATTGGGCGTGGCCCCGCTACCCTTGCCGTGGTACTTGAGCGCATGGTCGGCCGGGCGTGAATCAGTTCAGTTGGTTCAGTTGAGTTCAGTTGCGTGAGTTGCGTAAGTTGTTCCTCAGTTCTGTGTATGGAGCGGGTTCAGTAGTAGTGTACAAGTGAAATTGCCATTGTCCGTGACGAAGCTAGCGTTTGCTTTGGCGAGGCCGTGTGTGGTGCAGTGTACCGGTGTTGACGCTGTTTCGGCCTGACTTCTCGTACCGTGGTTGAGCGATTGTACGGAGCGCAGAGCCCCGTGGTGTGACCCAGTTAGCCTGGTAGGACCGAATTGCTTTATTGTGTAATTCAGTGCATTTTTGTACCATTGTTGCAGTTGAGTGTTTGACTTACAGAGTAGGGTGACTAAGTACAGGCATAAGGATTGTTGTCGTGGGTTCACAGAGACGTGCGATAACATAGAGGGTCGACCCAGAGGTTGACATAGAGGCCTGGGAGGAATAGTCACAGGTAGTCAATAACTGTACTCGGTCAAGTTTATTGTCACACGGGTTTTGTCGTATACTGATCAGCTAAGGCGCTCAAACTTATATAATCATAACAATCCAACGATAATAACCTTATAAATCAAAGAGTTCCCAATCAAGTCAGAATTGTCCGTGATTAAATAAACCAATCATTTCCTTTCCACAAAGAGAATTGTGTATCCCAGTGTCCAATATTTCTGCAGTTTCTTCGTCTGTTTGTTCTGTTCTGTACTAGAGTAACAGGGCCTGGTAATCAGTATCCAACTGGGCGGTAGATTTCCACCAAAACGAGCTTGCATCCCTGGGCCTAGAGGCTGCTCGAAAACTTCCCTAGGTTCGAGGCAGAAAACATAGTTTGGGGTTAGGGGAACTTTCACCTCAGTCGGTGATTGCCTTCCCTGACCTCTGGTTTAAATTGACCTCGGGAGATTCCGCCACAATATCATGAGTCTGAATTCAATTTTGTCTCGGAGGATTATTTTTGATCTGATGCCACAAACTAATTCAGAAGTATTTGTGGTGGCTTCTGTCTCATTTTGTTGTGTTGAGTTACCTTTGTTGGTGTATATTTTTTTGTACTTGGAAGATGACTGAAATGATGTTATAGATGATTAGAACATTGTCAAAATTAGGCCAAACACACAATCCTTGGAAGTTCAGAATTGTGAAAATGTGTTTCAAATTTCACTGAAGGATTTCAGTTTACCAGTGACCGGTTCTGTTAAACTTTTGTTTGCTTTGGAAGGGGCCATCACAAAAAAGAAACATCTGAAAATCGAAAAAAAGAAGAAAAGTGTTTCCGAACAAAATCTAAAGTTTGTTACTCAATGGGTTTTCCCGCTTAAATCGAAAAGGTCCTGTCAAACCCCCCCCCCCCAACTAAAATCCTGGTGGTATCCCTAGAATGGCCTCTCCCCAGTATCAAAACACAAAGGGAGAAAATACCAGGCTCAGTTATATGGGAGGACCTGGGAGTCGGTGGTGGCAAAATATCTGTCTGGCCTTTCCAAATATTACCTGTTGTGATTGTCATTTTCTTAAAATAGCCTAATAATATGCCCCACAACAAAAAAAGTACAGTTTATAAATAAAACCTCTTTTTTTTTGGAAAAAGGCCAGAAACAAATGTGTTGAAATTAAGATTAAGAAGTTCAGTTTTAAAAAACAAAATCAAATTTAAGTTTATCATTCCAAAACAATGTCTGAACAAAATCCCAGAAGTGTATTCATAAAAATTACAAGTTCAGTTCCTGAAAATTCGATTTAGTTTCAATTTATTAAGCTTGTTACTGTGCCGAGAACATGTGTAATATATTTACACAAGAAGTAACCAAAAAGATATTTCACCCCCTTAATTTATCTGTTCTGCCCCGCCCCTAAACATAATGCTACCAAGAGCTACAGTGCTGAAGCCCAAGTTCCTTTTGATGGGTGGAGCCCATACTTTTCTTGGGGGGCGTATCGTTGAACCTTTTGTGAAGTGTTCATAGCCTGTATTTGTATATGGAGGTACATTTTATAAACAATCCTGGTGAATAAAATGTTTCAAATTTCTTTGTCACTGTGTTTTCAGTAACTTGTGTCATGTCATTAAAATATTCATTCCCTTATTCAACCACATAATGTTCAGTTTCTTATGTTAACACATGTATTCTTTGTTTAAAAATGATTTCAAATAAATCAGTTCTAAAATTGATAAAAATACAACTGAGGTACGATATGGCACAGAAGTTGGTCATTTTTTTGTACTGAGTCATGTTCGGTATTCACTGTTGATATCCCTTCATAACTTCCGCTGTTATCAAAACTTCTAGGAAAAATGAACAATAAAACTTGCGCCCACATCACCTTTTCTATGCGGTTCGTTAAACTCGAAATAGAGATTTTGTCAGCTCCTTGTCAAAAGTTTCAACGTGTGTACAAACATTCCAAAAATAGAACGTGTACAACGTGCATAAAAGGAAGGGTGTTCCTATTTGTGACGTCATAATTGTTCATCATGCATCAATCGTTATGTGTGTGACATAGCACGCGTGCTGATAACGTTGGAACGTAAAACTGACCAACTTTGCGGACTAAATTCGCCCATTTCTGTGCCATTTTTGGTTGGAATTTTGATACCAGTCAACGGGTGGGATACTGAGGATACTCCTGCGGCACCATTGATCCCGAAGTTATGTCCGGGGAAGCGGGCACGACGGGGACAAGTACCCGTGCGTCTGCCGCGAGCACTGGGCCGACCTCGGCCGTCAAGATACGGGGCTCGCCCAGCAAGTACGTCAAGCTGAATGTCGGCGGTGCGCTGTTCTACACCACCATTGACACGCTGACCAAACAGGATAACATGCTGAGGGCCATGTTTAGCGGACGGATGGAAGTCCTGACTGATTCTGAAGGTATGGTTTTAGGGGAAATTTTGATCTGGGATGTGAAATTTTGATGAATTTTGAATTAGATATTGTTGTGTGCTGGGCAGGCCTCCTCCATGGCAGGCCTAATGATTGCAGTTCTAAATGTAATTAAACTTAAAAGACATAGGCCCTAGGCGCTTACATGCAAGACATGCCATGGACATGATGGAGTTCATTTTTCGGCCTCCCATTTTCAAGTCGTACTGCCATGATTTTGTATATTGAACAATGATAATAAAAAAATAAGTACCGAGTACCGAATTAGGAATTTGTTTAATTAGAAATTAGGCCTAATACTTAATAGAATTGTTCAAACTGTAACAATTATTCATGCACTCCCACATTTATTCCTTTTTTCTTAAGTGTTTTAAGGGGCATTTGTGAAATGTTGAGAAAAAAAAAAAAATTGGTGCTAATTTTATTATGCCTACTAAGTACTAAACTGGAAATTTCCAGCTTACTAATACTAGGCTCATGACATGGCGATGAGGCTGAGCCTAGTATTACTATTAGCTGGAAATTTCAAGCTAGGCCTACTTACTTGTGTACTATTTAAGTAGTAATTTCAAATTTGATGTAAAAATTAGTACTTAAAAAACATGTCTACATGTAATCATGTATATGTGGTCAAAATTGTCATTTTTGTTGTTGTTGTAAAAGCGCATTTCATACTAGTCTTTTTTCTAACTACATGACTGCAATCAACAACTCTCAAATGATTATGTATTCTTTAGAATGAAGTATTCATTTCTGTCATGGATAAGAACTTTAACAGTAATTCCTTTCTTGTTCCAGGATGGATCCTTATCGACCGCTGCGGCAAGCACTTCAACATCATCCTCAACTACTTGCGAGACGGTCAGGTTCCACTTCCGGAGCTACAGAGCGAAATCGAGGAGCTTCACAACGAAGCCAAATATTACCTGATCCAAGGGCTGGTGGACCAGTGCCAGAAAGCGTTGAAGAGAAAACGGGACGAGTATTTTCCCGTGTGTCGCATTCCTGTCATAACGTCGCAGAGGGAAGCACAACTGCTTATCAACGGCTCAACAAAGGTGAGTTGCATGTTGAAACACGTACAATTTATTTTAGGGGGGGGGGGGATTTCAAGGAAAATACATGTACGTCCCATGATGCAACTGTAGTCTGAGCATGATTGGACATATTTTCATTGAAATACCCCTTCCCTCCCCTTCCACTAAAAACAAATTACCACATTAGGCAAAATAAAAAAAAAACATGTTTAGCGTCCTGCCTCTTTGACAAAAAGGAAGGAGGAGGCCCTTTTTTTTTTTTTTTTTTTTTTTCAAAATGGCCGCCCGACACATTGTTCAAGACAACGCGGCCGGGCTATTTTTCAAGATGGTTACCAGCTTTTTTCAAAATGGCCGCCACTTGGACTCATTGACTATTTCCACAGCTTTATACACGGTATAAAAGTCTAAAAATACGATTTCTTTCGTCAGAGATCGTTAAAATTTATCAATTTTTGTCTTTAAAAAAAAAAGGAGGCGGCCTCTAAAAAGGAAGCGGGCGGGGACGCTAAACATGTTTTTTTTTTTACTTTGCCTTACACAAAGATGGCGGTATCCGGCAAACGGCTTAAATGCAAATGGTGAAATAGGATTTTTTTTCATCACGTTACCACTACAGCTTATTCTACAAACTTTTTAGCCATTCTGAATCATTTTAATATAATTGTATGTGTTCAGGGACCAGCTTTACTTGTCTTGCCATGTCTCTTTTTTTAAAAATAATTGTTAAAAGTCTCAATGACAATTTTCACTTCTTTCACTTTCAGCCAATTGTCAAGCTGTTATACAACAGACAAAACAACAAATATTCCTACACAAGGTGAGTGTACAGTATAAAAACAATAGTATTAGACCAAGTTAAAATTAGCGTCCTGCCTTTTTGAAAAATGGGAGGAGGCCCTTTTTTAAATGGCTGCCACTTGGACTCGGGAAATGACATACCAGCTTTATATGTGCTAGATGCAACAGACAAAGAGTCCAAAATGATGTCTCTGTTTAAAATTTATCATTTTTTCCGTAAAAAAAAAAAAGGGAAGGCGGCCTCCAAAAAGGAAGCGGGTGGGGATTATTTGCCCTTATGAGCACAGAAAAAAGTTTAATCAACATTTCGAACAGTGTTTTTTTTATTTTATCGTAAATATTTGACCTCTCTTTGAACTAGGGGTGTGCATTTACGGGTAGTATGGGAACCTGGTACCCGATTGAAAAATGGGTACCAGGGTACCCGTGTAAGAAACCTGGGTACCCTTGGAAGAAACCCAACCCCAAAATTTCAATTCGGAAGTTGCTGTTCAGATTGTTCATAAAGGTGCACTACTGCGCACAAAATTAGTGGCTAAATATTGCCACATCGGTGCGTCAATACAGCGTGACACAATTGTGTACAGTCAAGTTTATATCCTTATGGTGTAAACTGCAACTTTTGCGAGCATCACAATCATGAAATTATGTTTTCTTTTAAAACATGACATTCAAATTTCAAATCCTTTTTTTTTCTTCATTGTCTGAAAAGTTACTAAATAATTTGTAAAGTTGGTTACGGGTACCCGATCCCATAATCTGGAACCGGTTCTTGACATCAGCGGGTACCCGGTTCTGATGCACAGCCCTACTTTTAACCCTCCTAGTGGGAAGTCAATATGCAGAGCAATAAATCCCTGCAGGGCAGTTTCAGCATGAAGTGATAAAGTAACTGTGTCACACAGAGAGTCACTACATTGCAAAAGCAACACTATGGATAAGCATGAACAAATCTGCTCGCTTGCCCTGAGTTTAACCACACACAAAAATTGTGCAGGGATTTGAAGTGTTATCCATACTCCACAGAAATTTGCAGGAATTTGAAGCGTGGGTCCTACATGTAACTCTTATGGGCAAAAGTGGTTTCGCAAAACTTGAAGGGTTGTGAAGTGCTGAAGATCAGGAGGGTTAAAATATAGAAAAATGGTGTGGGTGAGACATATATAAAGAGGATTTTTTTTCTGATTTTACTCATAGCAACTCAGATGACAACATACTGAAGAACATTGAAATGTTTGACAAGCTCTCGGTGCGTTTCAACGGACGCGTCATCTTCGTCAAGGACGTCATCGGCGGAAACGAGGAAATCTGCTGCTGGTCCTTCTACGGCCACAGTCGAAAAGTTGCTGAGATTAGCTGCACATCCATTATGTACACCAGTGAGAAGAAACAAACAAAGGTGAGACGTCGTATGGTAGTCTGGTAGGCAGAGCTCAGAAAAGACCGGAACCTGACCAAATATGGAGTGCCATCTACTTCATGCACAGAGCCTATTGGCCTAGACTGAAAGCTGACCTCGTAGAGCAAGTTTGAGCGTGACTTATCACAGTTTGACTATCTTTGCTTGAACCAATGCTTCTCAACCATAGTTGGACTAGTTAACTTTTCGTAACAAACATCACTCTAAGGATAACAAATATCACCTGTGGCGCTAGTGTGTAATATTTTGAACAATCTTTGTGAACCCGATTGAGTTTGCAAAGTCCTACCATAGCATGTTTTATGAAGTACAGTTTAGCAGTGAACTTGGGTTGTTTTTTTATATCCACTCTGAACATAGGTTGAATTTCCTGAGGCTCGAATCTTGGAAGAAACGTTAAACATTCTCCTCTACGAAAAGTTGGACAGCCAAGACGCCGAGGCCATGCACAACATAGGCACCAAGCTAGGCTCCTTCGCAGCCGCTGCGGCGTGCCACAGTGATGACGACGAGGACCACCGAGTCCGGAAGACATGAGAAGAGACTAGTCATCAACGACCCTGTGCTGGGCCAATTTTCATGGAGCTGTTGAACAGAAAAGATTGCTTAGCGAATTTATGTGCTCAGTAAGAATAAGCTGGGAACCAGTGAGCAATGTGAATCCCATGATATATTTTCTGGTTACCAGTTTTTGCTAAGCAAATATGAGCTTAGCAAATTTCTGTGCGCAGCAAAGATAAACAAGGAACCAGTGATAAGCAAGTTGAATCCTATGATATTTTGGCTGGTAGGCCATGTTTGCTAAGCAAACATTTTCTGAGCTGAGCACATTTCTGTGCTTAGCAAAGATAAACAGGGAACCAGTGATAAGCAAGTTGAATCCTATGATATTTTGGCTGGTAACCTGTTTTTGCTAAGCAAATATTTTCTAAGCTTAGCAAATATCTGTGCTTAGTAAAGTTCAACAGGGAATCAGTGATAAGGAATGTGAATCCAGAGATAATTTGGCTGGTAACTTGTCTTTGCTAAGCAAATATTTTCGTAGCTGAGCAAATTTCCGTGGTTTTGGCTGGTAACCTGTTTTTGCTAAGCAAATATTTTCTGTGTTTTATCAAATTGCTGTGCTTAGCAAAGATAAACAGGAAACCAGTGATGAGCAATATGATTCCAATGATATTTTGGCTGGTAAGCTGTATTTACTTAGCAAATACTTTCTGAGCTTGGCAAATATCTGTGCTTAACTAAAGATAAACAGGGAATCAGTGATGAGCAATGTGAATCCAATCATATTTTGGCTGGTAACCTGTATTTGCTTAGCAATTTTTTCTAAGCTTAACAAATTTCTGCAATGCGTCCCAGATGTCATATTTTTTCAGCAGAACATTTTGCTTAGCAAATATAAGCTGGGAACCAGTGAGAAATGTAGATCTTATGATATTTTAGCTGGTAACATGTTTTTGCTAAGCAAATATTTTCTGAGCTGAGCAAATTTTTTCCCTTAACAGATCTATGAAATTAGCCCCGAATCTCATGGTGTATCATTAAGTCAAAATCGGAATTACAAATTGCATACCTCTGAACATTCAAACATAATAGTGAAGTTATGGTATGACATCGTACCTTTATAGAAAATTTAAATATTGTGTAGATGGAATAAGAGTCTGTAGAATGCTTGCAAAATCTGGAAGAAATGGAAGAATCTTTCGCACAAAATTCCAACATCTTAAAAACTGCAGCTGAGTTTGCAGTAGGGCTGTGCCGAATATACCAAATATTCGAATATTCGAATATTCGAATATTTGATCATCAACCGAATATCTGAATAGCGTTTTTCTATTCAAGTATTCAGTCTCTATAGGAGAAGATGAAAAACATCCATGGTGTTATTTTAATCGTATCAGTTACATGGCTTTATTGTTTGCCAAATGTCACACTTTTTTAAAAAGGACTAAAATCGGTCAAATATCTGTTTACATTATTTTAAATGCACTCTCTGTCAATTTTTTGAAATTATTTATTTATGTGTGTGTGTAGTTGGAATTCCGAACTGGCTTATTGACATCGGTGGCAACATCCTTCAACATTCCGATAGGAAGAAGGCCGCGCAATGGAATGGGACCGTTTCACATTTGTTAGTGAAACCATCTCAGCAGAACTTTTTGTACAAAATTCTATATTGTATGTAAATTGACATATTCGTCAAGCCAGATTTAAAAGTATTTGGCGAGAAGCATGGACACATGTGAGAACGTGTATAAAGAATGTATCTGAAAATAAAATTAAAAAGCTGGTAAATTACCATGTACAATTTTGGTACAAAAAAAATGTGTTCAAAAACTTAATGTATTCCCTGTATTGTAACTTGGCATTTTGGGGATTCTTTGCCCCTTCTGTACAATGGAAATAAAGTGAAAATAATGAGACATTTACTTTTTTTGTCACTTAAAGAGTGTCCTTTTTGTTTTTGTTTCGATAATTTTAAACTAACAATCAAAGGTATTGTGTGCAATTTTGTGTTTTGTAAGTTACCCATACGTAATGCACATTATTTCAATTACTCAACAATGATTGCAATTAGGCCCTAATTCGGGATTTCTTTAATTTTGGAAAATTTTTATTCACGGCATTTTTTTTTATCGACTCCCGTGGTGTGCTTTCATGCAAGACCGCCAGAACTTATTGTGTACTCGCACTTGTTTTAAAACTCAGTGCTCTTGCTTCATGAACGTATATCATCATCCATTCACTGTTCAAAATCGATGTTTACATGTACTTCAACTTGGGCAAACACATTTTTAATTGAAAGTGAAAGGTCCGTTGTTCTTTCGTTTCCTGTACGTGATTGGAAATAATACATGTATCAGTTTTGCTGGCAACATCGTACCTTTCCTAGTTTTGTATCCCTAAAATTAAAAAAAGCATTATGCTCCTTGTTTTGATATTTCATGTGACAAATATATACGTGTAGAACTACATAAATACAAGGTTGTTTCCTTGTACATGTATTAGTGTTAAAATGTTAAAGTAATTGCTGAAAACTTTCCATTAAAATTTAAGGGGAAAATCACATTTGCTCACAAAAATGTGTGTATTGACTGGTTTTACAGTCACAATTTGTAGAAAATAGTCTTAAAAGTCATCATTTCTTGTCGAAAAAATAGAGATTGTTGTGCCATTTTAGCTGAATAATCTTTTACGCATATTGAGCCATACAAACAAATCTGTATACCTTGAAAGACTATCCTCAGCTTTTTTGGTGTGGTTTGCACTGTTTTATCAGTCACAATTTTCAGGAAAAAAATCGAAAGGCTTTTTCATTTCTTGTCGCAAAATTTGAAATGTTCTCTGAAAAACATTTCACGCCTTTTGAGCCGTACAACAAATCTTTATACGTCGTCAACTTTCCGCATCCGGGCAAGTGAATCTTGTAATTTTTGTTTTTAAGTCCTGCCAAGACTGCAATGTTGCGTGTAAATAAATGTACGGATTTTGGACTTGGCAAATAAATGGAGCTCTTTTTGTAAGAAAACAAGAAAACACCACTGTACCATCAGTGTGTTGTTCACTTTTTTTAATCAAACACTCTTTTTATCATACAATGGCCTGCGGGCCTCAGACCATTTTTTAACAAATTTATTTGATTTAATATATTTACTTTCAATATATATATTTTTGTATTTACAAAACAAAATAAAATTGTAGTTATAAGAGGCCAGAGCCAATTTCATGACTGTGCTCACCGTAAGAGAAAAACAATCTGCTTACTGTAGCAGGTTGCTTACGGTTAGCATATTCCATGGGTTATCGAGGATTTCTGGCTTACATGTACATGTATGTACATGTGTACATCCTGTAGCTAAGGATTCTGTGCTTACAGGGTTAGCACATAATTTGTTTGCTAGCGCTGCTCAGAATGGTGATCGTAAGCGCAGAATTCTGTGGTTAGCAGAGCCATGAACTTTGGCCCAGATGTTAAGCAAGTGAAGTCAAATTCAAATCAACTTTCATGCAATTCACAAAACTGTGTTCAAGACCTTTTTGTTCCCATGGCCCTCACAAAAACAAAAACTGCTTTAACTTTAATTGGATCTGTCGTGCACACTCCAGCAAAACATTTTAGAAGTGGAAGTGTTTAATTTTGAGCTGCAGGAAGTGACTGGCGAGTGACCTTTTGCAGCGTTACCCGTAAACAAAATTTGTCGAGGCTGCTTCTTGCCAAGTTAAACTCCACTGCCAGATCTAAGAAGGGGAGGGGGGGGGTAAAAGAATCCTGCTTGTTGTTTCTTGTTTCTTTAATTATTGAGCCATTGTTTACAAACTGAAAGTTTCATAACATAAAGGTTTTGGGGACATTGTTCAAAATCCTGTAACAAAATTAATGCCTGTACAATGGGCCTATTTTCACAAAGAAAAGGAATCATCTGAATTGTAAGTAATCATAATTATAAGGAATCATCTTAATATTTATTAAGTTGATTCTTTATGCAGCACATATGTCCACAAAGTCATGTTGCTGACCTAAAATACAAAAATGATTTGTGATGATATATCTTATCTTATTACATGACACGCCAAGATAAACCCAAATTACAATTTCATGTAGCTGATGCTGTCCAACAAACTATCATTTCTTTACGTGTAGGCCCTACACGTAAAGCGTTTCAACAAAAACTTCTGGTACCTAGCTAGGCTATTCTATACATTTTGACCACATGCGTACCACCAAACTACTGCATGGTCCACCTTTTAAAGATATAGTCCATCATTTGTTATTTGTGCATTTTGTTCGTTTGAAGCAACAAAAGTGTTAAAAATCTAAAGAAAGGTGCTGAACAACTAACCTGATGAAGTTTCAGCTCAGCTTCAGCTGTATATTTTGAGATAAACAGCATTCTAGGATCTCGATTTCAAATCAAAAGTTGCTGAATCATGTTTTGAATTGGGCCTGAATTCAGCGTCCGAGACACGTTCTCTCTGAGCCGTTTGCAGCTACGCGATGTCGCGCAGCGATCCGACGAATTATAGCAGCCGCGCACATGGCTCTGCGCATATGGCTATTTCATATTTTGAGAAGACAGAGAAACCACATGAACATTTTCATTGGTCTCGTAACATGGATTCTGTTGCTATAATAATGCAAGTGAAAAAGTATCTGCGATCTGATACTCTTTAAAACCATCTTCTCTGATGGTTTTTCTTTCGATTGATACCATTTGAGGCATCTTCGCTATGAGCGTGTTTTTCTTCTCATTAAATCTGATGAGTACATTTCCGAAAAATTGCCAATATTCGTACCAGAGTTGGTCATGTGCTAGTCTATGTGATGAGCCTTTTCTGCTTCCAAATTTTCTTCATGTACTTTTGTCGCCGAGTGAAAAAGTCAGAGGAAAACCTAATTCCAAAAAATCCGTTAACTACTGAAGTTTGTTCTAACTTTGGCACATCACGAAAAAGGGGCAAAGAACAACGTTCACATCTTATTTTCCCACCTTAATTTACCAATTTACTTTTTTATACTAATATGCAACAAGCCTTTTGCGGATAAACCTGTCTGCAACTTGAGATGATTCCCAGTTACACAATGTACAATTTCTGTATAAATTTGAACTTTTGCTTCTGACCTACAAATGCAGCAATGATTTTGTGTTGACATACCTTATCTCAATGCTGTTCAAACTTTTATTTAGTTAATTGTACATACGTTTCATAATTGACAACCCTCTATATACCGACAATACAACTCAATTTTATTTGGATCCCGATTTGTTGAAAACTGTCTACCACTCTTGACTAAGAATTTCATAAAGGTGGAGGTTTCAAGAAAGAGCCTGTCGTAACTTGTCCTGGTCGTCCTTTCCAAAGCCAATGGATTCCAGATAGTTCTCCACGGAGCCATATCTGGAAGGGAAAAAAATATGGAGATGGAAGTTTTAGGTATTTTGTAAAGAACATTATGAATTGTGGGTGTCTATAAGAGGGTGCTCATAATGAATGCACATATACCTCAAGCTGATCCAATAGATACAAAACCATTGCCTTCTATTTAAGCTATAACGCCTAATAAAGTGTAAGGACATATGCAGTACATGTATGTATTCAGATTTTGCCCTTCACCAGCCGACCCCAACAATTGAGCAATGAGAACTTCCTCAATAGAATGCAGGAGGTTGTGGGTTTGAGTCCCACCTAAGTAAGCTTAATTGTCAAAAGTTTTTGATATAGAGTGTTTTTAATTACGTTTCTCTTGTAGCAGCAAGTAACTTCAGCATCGTTTCCTTCCTGGAATACAAGAAAGATTCATCAGGAATGTACCTCAGAGCTACCTCTTTTACCTCAGGCATGATGGGCTCAAGACCTTTCTGTAAGGAATTAGACAAATGAAAGAAAAAAGGAATACTTTCAAAGGACAATCGAATGGGTTGACATAAGTTGTATATGCTGTCCATTTTTTGAGTGATTGCTTAACATAAATTATGTTAGGTGCAATGCGCAGTGTAATGTATGACCAGAACTACATCTTATGTGCGCATTGATACACAAGTAAGTGATGTCATTTGCCAAGTGAGCAAGATAATTCCAAGATGGCAGCATCCTGTATTTATAGGACTATATTATACTTGTACGCCCACTGATAAGTATGCCAAGGGTAGCAGGGTATAGCGTGTTATTGCTGTGTTATAGTTGTGTTGTTGCTTCCCCAGGGAGTGGTCACGGCCCCTGCCCTTTTGTCAGAACCAAGTCCAACTACCCGGTTGGTAGTATGCATGGTAAGGGTCGTGATCTCAGGGTTACGAGTCAAGAGGTGGCTCCTAGCAAGCGGACCCCAGTTGGTAAACAGCAGGGTATGAGGAGCTCTTCACTCTTGGCTGGGTAGTCTTAGGGATGGATATACTCTCCAAATAAGAAAGTTGCAACTGCTGAGACCATTCTACACGTAGCAGTAACATCGGTGGGACTAAGAGCTTCATTGGATGAGAGGGTGAGAAGAGGATTGGAGGACCTTCCACAATTCAAACCTTCCCTGTGCTGGTCAGGAAGACAGGTTAATACTGAACAAGCAAGGCCAGCCCATCCACTACAAGCTTCTTCCAATTCCTGCGGCGATGAAAAAGTGATGGGAACAGGCGGGGATACTACTGGGAGTTCCTATAGCTGACAAATCTGACCGTAGGCGGCTGTGGTGTGATGGTCCCCCACCGTAGATTCGAGGCAGCAGATGTGTTGCCCATATCCTCCGACAGGCATAGAGCAGCCCTTTTTAGGGAAAAGCACGTTGTCCATACACAGAACCCTCGGGTGAGAATGTCAAGAATGAATTGTCAACTATCAGAGACATGCTTTACACGACAGCATCTGACACCCTTGGTTTTGTCGAGCGCAGTCAGTCACAGAGACTGGTTTGATGAAAATGACCTAGAGCTTAACAAGGACGTGCTGCATAAGAGAGACCATGCAGGACAACATTTCAGACAGGGGGTGCCACACAAAGAAAGAGAACCAAAGGCAAAGTTATCAATTTGTCCAGCAGAAACTCCGCCAGACTGTGAAGAACTCCTGGCGGGGAGAGAAAATCCGAAGAGCTGCAAATCAAGCAACTTGAGCAGTTTCATCAACGTTGCCCTTGACATCAGCTACTGTAGCAAGAACAGGTCTTCAATTTGCAAGTACTCGAATGGTGTGAACTATTGAAATTTGAATGCTTGCTTATCAAGAGCCATTTTAAATTTGTTAATCAGGCTATTTTGGTTGCATGCATGGAAGACGATTCCAAAGATCCTTTTGTACGGTCAGGTTAAGGAAGACCATGCATTGCTGGTGCACCACTGTTACATGCACATTTTAATTCCCTGTCAATAAATTTGACATTACAATTGACAGATTATCATGACATGGGCAGGGGACTGGAATTTTAATTTAACTATGCTGTCAATACTATTGTTTTCAAAAGTGAAGAAACTAGGCAATATGCAAACGTTGACCCACTGACCTCAGACAAACTGTACTCCTCTGCAATGTATTCGTTTGATTTTCCCAGAATGCTTAGGACCAAGGCCGTTACGATTCCGGTGCGATCTTTGCCGTGTGTGCAGCAGAGTATCGCTGGGAGGTTTTCAGGGTTGCAGATTGTCTTCAGAACTGGAGTCAGACAGGAATAAGAAGTAAGTGTCGGTGTTATTGTAGAGTCCATCACAAGTTCTCACAAGTCCTCCCTCACAGTCCTCACAAGACCAGTACAAGTCCTCCAGTTCAAGTCAAGTCACATGTATTCAAATGAATAGTGGCAAAAGCATTCCTATCCGTTGTCATTGTTCATCCCGTATACTTGTGACTGGACTTATGTAAGGACTTCATTTACTTGGGACTGGACTTGTGATCGGCTTGTGACTTGACTTTTGATGGACTCAACTACACGTCTTAAATGGCTTATGATTTAATACTTAGGACTGTACTTGTGATTGCTTGTCATTTGCTCGTCATATTGTTTTGCATTGTCGAACTTTCCTGAGTCCTCCAAAATCCTTCATGTGCAGGAAAACAATGGCACGCACATTCTTTGCACTTCATCATTCAAGATGTATAAAGTCAAATGTAAAGAAAAAGTGGCTGAGGCTCTAGTTTCCTCAATCCCTCAAAAAATGCCCAAACCACATGATGGATTTTGAATGATCTGGAAAGGCTAAGAATAAATAACATTTGTTGCAATATTTGTATGACTTACTGAAGCAGATTTCCTTGCTTCCGTACTTCAGAAAGCCCTTGTACCGTCCGATCAGGCCGTGCCGAATGATTTCCACTGACAAGCACCGCGTAAAATACAAGTAGTGATTGCCTGTCAAGATGCCGATCAAAACGCAGAGAACAGTGAAGATTCGTTTGTACCAAGGTGCCATGTTGAACACTTCAAGCACGGCGTCTCTCGGGAACATGTTGATCAAGTATCGTCGCGGGGACGATACTTTCGAGACTGGTTTACCGTTTACGTCCTTTACAGAAGTGCTGTCGGTCGGGTAATGTCTTGTAGTTTTGGGGTCTGGGATATCCGGGACAAAAACCGGAACGGTGCCGTCGATCGCTTTGGTTTTTCCACTGTCAATGGTGCAGTACTCGTGCACGCTGCGAAAGTCCAAATACGATCGTATTCCAAGACTTTTATACAGGACTTGGACATCTTCCTCCGTTGCTCTGTCTTGCCGGGAGGAACGGAAGAGTTTGCCATGGGCGTCGACCCTTCGCAGATTGGGGACAGAGTCCAACAGGATGACGTTCTCTACCGGGATGCCAACTTCCGATGCTTCGGAAGGGTTGAAAGATGGAGTCACCATTGTTGGAAAGCTGCCAGGGCTGAAATAAAGAAAAGACAACGAAATGGTAAGCCTTATAAAGCTGGTCTCAGAGCACACAAAATTCTATTCAATTGATTTGGAATGGCTTTTCACTTGAGCGACTTTTCATGTATGTGGCCTACACAATGCGCAAGATTTAGCCCATTCATTGGTGTTGGTGATCCTATTTTTAAACTTTTGGGGCAATGTTAGATTTATGCAAGTCTACTTTACAGGTCAGCTAGTCAAGTACATAGAGGACTATATGCTAGCCTTTCTGGGACTGGCAAAAACTACACCGTTAACAAAAAATATCTGAAAGCACTGCTGAAGTGTGAATTGAATTTGTTGGAAATGTAACCAAAGAAGAAAAATAAACTGAATGCTTGAAAAACTGTTCAACTAATTTTATGAAATATGAGCAATAGAACTGAAAATGCACATCTACCTACCAAAAAGTTCCAAAGAATAATTCCGCTGTATCCCAGATCCGGTCATATGGAAAAATGGAAATCGGGTCCTTTCCAAAAAAAACCAAGTTCTGACTTTGAACTTGTCCCCACTGGATTAGCATCAAAGTCAATATTTGTGAAACAAAAAAAGAATCTATAATTAACTCCGGGCAAGTGTACATGCCAGGAAGTTATCACAGAATCAACAAGGCTGCTACAACACACAAGGTGGTCATTTGTTTTGTGAAAGACCATTTCGCAAAGTCAAAGTCACTTGAACCATATGCTGTCCAAAGTAGGCTGTCCTATCTGTCCAAAAATTGTCGGAGTGACTACAGTACTGTGTATTGCAAGTCCAAACTTAAAGACAGGTAGGAACATTGAAATGGGCTTACTGGTTGAGTGAGGACAACGTGTTAATGAGTGCAATGGTAAGAATAATTTCATAAGGCGACAGATGGACGTTCCATTCCACAAGTTGAATGGAACATTCCAACTTTGGCATAGCAAGGAAATGGGCAAAGAATTATGATCATGTCTCTTTTTCTCACATTTATTGCCTGATTACTTTAGTTATCGATATATCCACTTTTACATTTCACTTTGTAGGAGTTAAATAACATTTTACAGTGATTCTGTCATCTAGAAAAACTACAAAAATATAGTTACGCGTAGTAGGTTGTACTTGATGTATTTAGCAACATTAATCATATTAACAAATTGAACTTTACTCCATTTTTTTAAACGGATTCAGGAAGGAACAATACAAATAAACACAGAATATTACATATATGTAAAATAACTAGATGTATAAATATATCTATAACAGTACCATTTCAATTGTACTTTACACTATTGGTGTTTACGAAACTGTAGTTCTGTCTCTGAGGACTGTGGCTCAATATATGGTCTATATTGTTACATTCATCTTAACATGGTTGAAAACATAAAAGGCTTTAATGTCCAAGCAAGAGATGCAGCCGAACCAGAGACAAAGCCAAAGTTTCAAAAAAGGTTCTTAAAACACATTAAATATTACTAAGCACTATACTTTTTGGTTACAAATTTAAGTTAACACATTATTTTATTATGTACAACAAAGCATTTTAAATTAAGACCACACACAGAAACAGTTCTTTGAGATAACATTTTTCATAACTGTTTATGGTAAAAAATAATCGGGCAAAATGGTGGCACAAGGCAAACAAATGTTCCATATCTGATCTAGATAATCTCTCAAAATGCAGCAACGGCAATGCCACTGGCAAGAAATATCACTTTTAACATGTCTCATACCGATACTAAACAAGGTCAGTACACTTTGAGTGTTGAGAATTGGAGTAAATATGAGAAAAAAAAGTAGCGATACAAGCACGGTGGCCAAAGGGTAAAGAGTGCTCCAAAATGTTAGTATAAACAGTGATAACAGAAAGTCTTTGACCCCATGTTTCTAAAATTGGCAGCCTGAATATTGAGTGATAAACTGCTAGTCATGTACTGTTTGTTGGGAGTAAAAAAAAACAGCCTTTCCTATTCAAAAAGTTCTGTCACACAAGGCTAAAGTAACATTTTGTGGAGAACCAACTTGCGGGGCTCTTTAATATTCATACATGTAGTGTGAGCTAGTTACCACTGATCTAATTTTGCCATGAGCAATGCATCTTGTTAGGTAGTGACACCATACTGGTGTTGTACATGTAGTCGAGTAAATTTTCCGAGTACAATGTAAAAGGGTGCCCCTTTTGGCAAGTGATCTATATTTTTTGTTCCTAAGACTTCTCCTTGTAGCCCTTTACTAGGTTGAAACACCCCCGTCCAGTTTTCTCTTTTTCCCTCTCGAGTGTTATCTTTAGTCCCATGCCTGCAAGACTACTGCACCAGCGAGACCCCTTACTAAAAGTGGAGCGATCCCTTGGACAGGAGGTTGCAGCAGTCTGGGTGGTGTGGTCCAGCATGCTTTAGTGCTGTACCATCTACCATCAATTCCAACTGCCTTGTCTCTTGTCTCTTCTTTTCAGCTCGCCAACAATTCCAGGATCTTTGACCCCCTGCCCCCCCCCCCCCCCCCCGCCCCCTTACATGAGTACAAGTGCTTTATTATAAGTATGAGTACAAGAACACAGCAATTGTGTTGCTATGAGTATGAGTACTTTCCATGACTTCGTGCACTTTTCAATCGGTACAAACAATGTTGGGCACATATATGAAAGTCCACAAACAGTAATAAAGAATGGATTCTTTTCCTATATATGCCTTTAAAAATGTCAAATTCCAGCAGAATGTTTTCATGAGTACATTTACCCTTAATAAATTAAAGAAAATAATAAAACAAAACCAAACAAACAAACAACCCAACAAACTATATTGAAAAACATATATTACATAGAGTAATGATGAATGATAACGATACAATTGCACATATTTGCTAGTATAGACAGTTTCTTAGAAATTGGTTACCTAAACAAACACTTGTGTACCTAAACAAAACTTGATTAACTAATACCTAAACAGACACTTGCTTTAACTAACACTATAAGATTGCACAATGATCATTTGTTCGGAATTGCAAACCATATATATATATATAAACATTGATTTCTATTCTAAATATATGTAAAAATATTGTCACGATACAAGTTATTCTCAAGACCTCAATATATATATATATTTTCACATTGTTGTCTATGATCCTTTCACATCTACTAAATTACAAGCAAAGAGAATAGAATTATTAAATATTTTCCATACTTGATCAACCTCTTCAATCTTAATACCAGAGCCTTATATAGTGCACGTATCTACCAACAATTAGGTACTCAAGATGCTGGAAATGTCTATTATTAAAGACAGGTAAATGCTAAAAATTCAAATATTGTTTTTGTACAGATACTATAATTTCCTTTCTTTGTTAACCATTACTGTTTAAAATCCAATCTGTTGGGTTTTTTTATCAGTATACACAGAATAAAAGACTGTTTCTTACTACTGTTTGATAACAAGTAATCTAGCACGCTATTTTCGCTAAATTCCTTTTAAACAAGTGGCACAAAAAAAAAACATGACAAGCTTGAGAACATTTCTCACATTTGTGGCAGAAAAAACGTTTTCACACTAATAAGTAGCAAAATATTTTAAACAATGCTCAAAACAAATTCTGTATTTTTTTGTAGTTTTGCTATTAAAATCTAGCACTAGGTATAATTTTTTTAAATGTGCATATAATAACTTACATACTGACGACTACTCGCTCAGTGATTTTGTTGCAAATCTTCTGTTAATAAACCACAAGTATTCATGTATTTAACTGTGCAATTAAGTTATGCCTCAAAGCCAATTTTATATGCTGGGGAAAGGTTTTTGTTTGGCTGATTCTAAACTTATTTGCCAAGCAGTGAATAAATTTGCTTAGTAATTACTGTCTGCTAGCAACTCCGCAATATTGGTCCCTGCGTGTACAGTGCTCATGTTCCTGGTAATTAAACTAATGCAAACTCACGGGAGAAATTGCTTAAGACAGAACCTGGCGAAGTTTCTCTTGATCCTCCCTGCCAAAGCCGATGGATTCCAGATAATTCTCAACTGATCCATACCTAAGAAGAGAAAACACCAGGCAAATTATTGCAAAACAATTATGGATTCTAATTTGAGTCTTTCTCAAGAAAAGGCATGGCTAAAGATTTACCTTGAACAAAATATGCAGGAAAAGAACCAGTTTTACTGTTTGGGAGGCTTCTGCATTTGTGTAATGCCTACTTTAATAGCAAAAAGCCCTTGAAGTTGAGAACAAGTGTACCCATTCAGATTTGCTCGAACTCATGGTAAGTACTCGTGCAAACATACTTGTACTCGTATTCATCGTATTAAAGTTTCTGAACTAAAAGATTTCACCAGTGCTACTGCTAGCATTTACTTACTTGTCCCTCAGTAAAGCAAGTGTCTTCAACATTGTTTCCTTTTTGGCAAGTGCAAATGATTCGTCCAAATAGAACCTCTGCACTATTTCGCCGTGGACGGTTGACTGGATGCGGCTCAATCCTTCCTGAATCCAAAAAGAAAAAATTGAAAAACCAACAATTCAATCACCGTGCTCCATTTTAAGCCTTTTTTATCAGAAGTACATTTGAAAGTTCAACCTCCACAACATTGTACTGTTGCTCTACCATCTGAGCTCCCCAGCTCTACATAAGGTATGTTAATTACCTCCAAATATATCAATGTCTTTGTTGATTACATGATAAACTGTTTGTGTCTTTAGCCTTACAGGTACCCATTTATACTCATATGAGGTTATTGTGATAAAGTGTCTTGCCCAGGGACACAAGAGCACCATAATCCCCACATAGTGTGCAAGGTGATTCATATACAGAACAGGTTTTGGATTGTTAAAAAAATGGCACAAAATAATAACTATCGGGGAAACACTGCTTATGTACCTCCTTGCCTGCTTTACCACATTTTGTGTTTTTGGGGGGTTTGTTTTGCAATGTGAGCACAGTCGTACTTACCGTGGACAGAGCATAGTCCTCAGCGATGTAATTGTCTGATTTCCCCAGGATGCTAAGGACCATGGCTGTGGCAACGCCAGTCCTATCTTTGCCATGGGCACAGCTAAGCAATGCAGGGAGGTTCGCTGGATCAGAAAGGGTCTTCAAAACTGTTGGAAAAGAAGTTTGGAAAAGAAGACAATTTTAAGAGATATTCCTTTACCCCTATCCGGGATCCTTCAAATCCAGGAGAATCTTTTGGGAATTTTGTAGGATGTATATCAATGTATGTTAATTGTCAATAGGTAGGGTCTATTCCAAAAACATTGCGCAATATGAAATAAAAGAGAAAAAGAAACGGATTTAAGGAAAGAAATCGACTGGAGCAGGGTTTGAACCTGTGACCTCCGGATTGCCATTCCGGTGCTCTACCAACTGAGCTATCCAGCCCTATATGTTGGTGGTTCCCCAAATTGTCAATGACTTTGTTCATGAGCATTAGTCAGACGCCATAAACCTGCATAAGCTCTGTAACCAGAGACTGTTTTGCGGATACCGCCATCTTTGTGTTTATGTGGTAATCGAAGGGAGCATTTCAATAAATACATTATTGTCATAAATACATTGTGTTTGGGATACAATGGCTTGATGGGATCATGTGACGTAGTTCGATTGAAATGCCCCCTGAAATAATCAAGTGTCCACAAAGATGGCCTTATCCTCAAATGGTCTATATTCGTGAGGCTGCAATGTTAAACCTGATTCTTGACTTACTGAAACACAGCTGCTTGCCTCCGTACTCTAGAATGCTGGAGTACACACCCGCCATGCCCACGGTGTTCAATTCCCGTGAGAAAAAGCGCATCAGGTACTTGTTCTGGGTCCCCAATATAGCGTCGACGATGATAACAATGAAACTGAGCAGGCATTTGTAGAGTGGGGCTATGCTGAAGATCCCCAGAATTAGTTTGAAAGAGTAAAAGTCAATGAGGTAACGTCGTCGTGGAATTACAGGGGATTGTTCATCAGTCGTAACAACGTGTTTTCCATTCAGGTCCTTCAACGGAATGGCACTGTTCATTGGGTAGGGCTTTGTTTTGGGGTTCGGGAGTTTCGGAACTAAAACCGGGACGTCCTGGTCGATCGCTTTCGGCGTTCCACACTGCACTTTGGTGTACTCCCTCTGGCTTCGCATGTCAAAGAACGTGCGAATACCAAGTTCCTCCAGATGGATGATGTCGTCAGGGGATGCACGGTCCTGCCGCGCCGAGCGGAACAGCTTACCGCCGGCGTCAATTCTTCGGAGATTCAGTATTGTGTCTAGTGGGATCATGTTCCCGGCGGGGCTATCGACACAATCGCTGCCGGAGGTCTGTTCAGTGGAAACTAAGTTGGAGTCCATCTTGAGGGAGTGTGGTGGGTGAGCAGTTGATGGATATAGATGTTGATATGAGGTGTTACATTAAGTCTGCAAAAAAAAAAAAAAAAAATTCGTATTTATTCATCATTATCTGATAACTGGATAAGTAGCAGAAACATTCTCTCAGATTTCCAGAAATTCATAGATTTCCAATTTCCTTACATTAAATTAAAGAAAAAAGTGATATAGAATTTTCAACAATGGGTCTGCAATGCGATGCAAGGGCACAGCCTATCCTACATCTCAGGACTTGATTGCCACCCTCCACTCTTCCCTATCCATCATTAGGGTCCACATATCCCCTGTGATACTCAAAGAACAACATCCCGCCGCAGCTTGTCAACATACGTGTCTCTCCGGTCCTCCACCTCCTCTTGCCAGTTTCCCGAGTCGGCTCCCACAGGATGGTGTCATGGACTGCCAGCTCTGGGTGGTGGACGGAGTGGCCCGCCAGACCCATCTAGGCCTCCTCTCCCTGATGTTGTCCGAGATACGTGGAAGGCCTCCATACAGGTCGATGTTGTGGATGTGGTCTTCCCAGGCAACACCCAGATCCATGCGCAGCATCCTGGAGTAGACGCCATCAAGTGACTTCTCCTGCTGCACAGTGAAGGTCCATCAGTACCATAAAGTAGCACACAAAGAGTTGCCTCTTCATTGAGTTATTTCTTCATTGAGTGCGCCCCACTCATGCCAGAGCCCTCCTGGCCTTCAGCTCCTTCTCTGTTGAGGCGATGTAGGCCCCGAGTCCTCCACCACCTCTAACACTAGCTAGCTGTCCCATCGCCAGTAGCGACCGTTGCATCCTCTGTGTTGGGGGCTATCACCGTCGTCTTTTTGGCATTGAGCTAAAGGCTGATCTTTTAACACTCTGATTCTACCGCGAGGCGCGAGCAGCAGCATACACTTTTTCTGCTGTATCAGATACAAGGCCAATATCGTCTGCAATGTCAAGGTCAGTCATCATGACTGGTCACGCCCGCCAGCTTCTCCTGGGTGTGAGAGTGAAACCCAGCTCCTTCCTCGCCATCAATCGTAGCGTAGTCAAAGACTACCACAAATACTACTGAAGTAGACCAGTGTATCGCCCTTTAGTACTCCTGCCAGGATCTCAGTACAGCATCCCTCCGTCGGGAGAGAGCTCCTTGGCAGTGGATCGAGTATATACAGCTGCAACTGACTGGACCACCTTCTTTGCCTACATGCATAGGCCACGAAGGATACATATCATTTTTCCTCTGTGCATGGTGCCAAAGACCTTGCAGAAATTGATAAAGGTGAGCACTGCTGGTATCTGGTAGGCTTTCACCATTGTGTGCACACCCTCCAGTTCACACCCTCCAGTATCCTCCTCGGCGCCACTATCTGCTGAACCATCATGCGCTTCAGCCGGAAGCCATTCTGTGATGTTCTGAGCAGAGGATCTAGAGCGGGTCTCAGTCGGGATACTGAGCAGCATCCTGTTGTACATGTAGGTCTTGGCGAGAAATAGACTTGGACTGATGCCCCAATAATTGTCCATCTTGACTTGAGAATAAATTGGGCATGTTGGGAAGATGATCAGGTGCTCCAGAGTGCTGGTAGTGTTCCTGTATTGTATGCTCTATTTAAATAATTTAGAGCAATATCATCTACAGGGACATGTTTCAGGACTTCTGGGGTAGGGGTCACTCCGTCTTCACCTGACAGGCCTTCATTTTTAAGGAGCGCGATCGCGCTCCTTCGCGCTCCTTAACACGGTTTCTGGCGCGCAAATAATAGCGCTCCTGGGTAAATTTGCAAGCTTATTAATTGTTGACTCCAGTTTTTGTCTACATAAAGCCAACAGTAAAATCTTGTCAATCCAAATTTTATATACTTGATTTCTTAACTTGTCATCCCGATGTTTGAACGATTTTGTTGCGAAAAAAAGCAACAAAAGTAAGTCGAATACCTACGTAAAATCCACCCATAATCATCGCAAGGATTTTGTAAACATCGCAGTTACTCGAGCCCATCCCATACATCATGTACACGGACACATTAGCCATTTTCTTTTCATCAACGACATGTAGCACGTTCCATTATGATCAAGGGTACTGGCAGGATCGTCATTCAGACGTGCACCGCCATTAAGTGAATAAAATGAAATAATAATTTCGGTTGAGATCAGTTTATAAATGAGTTTATAAATATTTATAATGTAAAACTAAATGAATAAACCTCCGATGAAGTGAAAACACAAAACAATTATGAAATGGATGGGCCGAGCAATTAAAACCACCTACTTTGTAATACCAACACCCCTATTTTTCGATAAAATGGACGTGGCCGCGCCCAAGCCACGCATAACACGTAGGCCTACTTGTGCGCGATCTAATACTGTGCAGCCAGACAATTAACAGTGTGAAATTACACCGTTTTTCTGGAAGTTGTGATATTCCAAAGGGAGCCAGAGTTTTTGAACGGCATTTTGAATGATCTCCGGTACATCTACAAGAAACTAGCGTTCATTTTTGACAAGTTTGGGTTGGAAATACCTTACGAAAGGTTGAGCTCATTTGTCCCACAACGATAGAGTGCAGAGCGATTTTCCGTGTGTCGACTACCGGGCTATGCCCGCAAGCGCGGCCGGTCAACTGGCCACCCGTGCACGGTGATATTGTTTGTGCGTGGTACTGTCACGCCCCAACTATCGCATCGGTCCCAACTATAGTTGGGTCGGCCCAACTATAGTTAGGACTGGAGTTGCGCCGGACGCTTCATGCTTGATAGATCTTGTTGGATTAAATGTTCCGCGGCGCTGGCACCGTGTATTCGTCGTGCATGCATGCCGCAAGGCTTATACTGCCTAGTTGGATGAGTTGTCCAGCTGCTGGGTTTTATTATCCAGCAACATTTTGCAAAATTCAAAGATTGCCATGGCCGGCCAACTATAGATGGGCCGGTTTGGGCCCCTACCATAGCTAATGTCAAAGGTCTCAAGTCGGACATGTAATAAGCAGAGCTGTAGAGAATGTTTTATAGTCGTACATCAATGTACTATAGTTGGGACTGCCAAATAAAAATATTGCGGTGGCCCAACTACAGGTCCCCACCCATAGATACTAGATCATTTCATTGGTCCCCAGTAAAGTCAGATGTATTAGAGTTGTAGGGAATGTTTTATAATCGTACAACAATGTTATGTACACTATAGTTGGGACCGCAAAATAAAAAGATTGGGGTGGCCCAACTATAGATTCGCCCCATCAATAGCTAATTTCAGTGGTCCCCAGTAAAGTCAGACGTGTATCAGAGCTGTAGGGAACGTTTTATGGCTGTACATCAATGTAAACTATAGTTGGGACACCGCAAAATAAAAAGATCGGAGTGGCCCAACTATAGATGGGCCAGCCCAACAATGGAACTTACAGTTGGGACTGTCCCAACTATAGTTGGGACAGTCCCAACTATAGTTGGGCCAGCCCAACTGTGGAACTACAGTTGGGACAGGCCTAACTATAGTTGGGACCGATGCCCAACTATAGTTGGGACCGATCAAGGGCGGATCCAGAACACAATTTTGGGGGGGGCCAAAAAAATGTTTGGTTCCCCCCAAAAAGTGGGTCAAAAAAATTACGGCGTGGGGTTCGGGGCCCGCTTAAGGGCCCCGAAAACATTTTGGATTCTAGATGCTCTGTGGTGTGATCTGAGGCGATTTCTGACCACTTTAACCAATGTTTTTTTTGAGGAAAAGATGGTGGTGTACTCATTGCCTGCCTTTATTGCGATGTCAAAAAGTGGGTCAAAAAAATTACGGCGTGGGGTTCGGGGCCCGCTTAAGGGCCTCGAAATTTTTTTGGATTCTAGATGCTCTGTGGTGCGATCTGAGGCAATTTCTGACCACTTTAACCAATGTTTTTTTTTTGAGGAAAAGATGGTGGTGTACTCATTGCCTGCCGTTATTGCGATGTCACATAAAAAAAAAAAAAAATTGATTTCGTTTTGGGGGGGGCCATGGCCCCCTTTGGCCCCCCCCTGGATCCGCCCTTGGGACCGATGCGATAGTTGGGGCGTGATTCGACATTTTGTAATGGCGTTCAATACTTGTGGTAGCAGACCAGTAAATAAACTTCCATAGACCCCAATGGTAAATGCTCCCACTTCAAAAATTCGGGGAAAATACTCACAACTCTCCAAGGTGCTCGAGACACACATCAAATTGAAGCTGATTTCATCATCTTTCATTTTCTTTTCAATTTTCGGGGGGTCAACTGATGACTTTTAGGAGAAATTTCCATCTGAAGATGATCACCCCTGAAAATAGTCCTGAAGCCCATCGCCATTTTGAAAAACGATGCCTACACTCCATTGCAAAATAGAGCGCTTTTAGGGTCCAAATTACATCCAAATTACACAGAACTGCAAGCTCCCAGTCCTGTGCACGGCTTCCACCCATATTTTTTACAATCCCTCAAGTTCATGGCCCACAGCATGCTCAAATACCGAAGATTTTGAGGGCATGCAAATCGTGATTTGGCCGGCGCAGGCAATTTCGGACCGATTTACTGGTCTGCACCCTATAGTACATTTCTGTGACCTTACTTTCGATCCTTTTATTTTTTGTGCCCAAAACCAAATATTCATATAATTATTTTCCTTTTCTATTTTACTAATTTTGAGGATTTATGTGACAAAAAAGTATTTCTTTGACAGATGTATGACCGGACTTAAATTAATTGGATTTTTTTTTTTGGGGGGGGGCTCTATTCATTAATTTGGATATAAATTTAGAACCCCTCAAAAACACGGTTACACCACATGATACATATGCAAATTTAAACAAAAACAGGTTTTTAGTAAAGTTAGTAAACCAAAACAAACTATTTGATAAAAAAAATTAATAAATAAAAATGGAATAAACAGTAAATAAAACAAAAAATAAAAATAAAATAAAGTGAATATAATAAAAACGAAGTAAAATAGAACACACACAAAACCACTTAAGAACCACAAGTCAACTCCAATTTGTTTTTCATTTTTATTTCCAATTCCACATCAGGATGATTCACAAACAAGTAAAACTTAAACCTATTAAATTGACATGAATTAAGCACTCAATTTGTAGTGAACAGTCGCATCTGTTTCTCAGTTCTGATGCACGTGTGTGTGCATGATATGAAAGGCTTCAGGAAATGATTTGGATTCATTTTTTACATTGAGCACAAAACATGCAAATTGAGCTCCTCGGACTTCCCAGGAGAGCAATTTTGGGTGCTCAAATTGAGCTCCTCGGATTTCCCAGGAGAGCGATTAACTGAGCTCCACGAATTTCTAAAAATGAAGGCCTGACTTGATGCTATTCTCTTCTTGGCATTACATCCAGACTGATGGATCATGCTGAGTTATCGACGTTAACGTAACGTCTTCCCAATAACATCCCCACCCTTCAAAGGCACATCCCCGTGCAACGACTACTCCCCCCCCCCCCCCATTTCTCCACCCCTTCCAAACGCCTTCCGATCCCTTCCCGCAATAAAAAGACGCAAAATCCGCTGCACTGCCAAACAGGGACAGAGTTCTGCTTTCCAGTTACCCTAATTTGACAGCCCCTACCCAAATTTTTTTTTTGGGGGGGAATGGGTTAAAAAAAACCCGAAAACCATCAATTACATGAATTACTACCTACCTTTGACTGCATGCAGACACCTCCATATGATCGTACACAAACAAATTGCCCCCCCCCCCAAAAAAAAATCCTTAGCCTAGGCTACCTACCTACCCCTATTTTCAAATGCCATCTCGAAAGCAGAACATCTTTTTTTTTGCCCAAGACCACGAGTTAACCGCTATTCATAAATACCTCAGACAGTTTAGCCGTTCCTATTGGTCGAGAGCCCGTCACGTGGCCGGTATTAAACGGATGATAAAGACATGGCTAGCTGGTCTTAAACACTTTTCCAGTGTCACAATAAAATGTGGACTCCTAAAAATCCAGTGCCTCTTATCGTTTCATTGGTTGAACGTTCACAATCCTCACGTAGGCATGCGCAACACTACCAGGGAGTTAGAATTTTATAGTTCTAAATTCAAAACGCAACGCGCCAGGTGCGTTCTGCGCGACATCGCATAGAACATAATACGCGCGCGTCAATCTCCATAAAAGGGTTGTTTTCATCTTACTCGCCAGCTGAACACTCCATTATTTTGCAGGGGGGATGATTCAAAAAGCATAAAGTGAATTTGTTGAACAAAATCGGGATGTTTTGAACGAATTATGTGATTTTTTTTTACCGAAAAGGTATTTATGAATGGGAATAAATATGTACTCCGTCGGTATTTATCACTCTGTTTAATACCACTTAGAGTCTGGGTGCTGATAATTACCCTCGCCTCCGGCTCGGGTAATTATCAGCACCCAGACTCTAAGTGGTATTAAACAGAGTGATAAAAACCTCCGGAGCACACATTTATTCCCTTAGTAATACATACAATACCTACCGATGAGCCTGAACTTGAAGAAATCTCGACTTAAAATCCGTGGAAACTTTGGAGCCTTTTGGTCGACTTGGTCGATTGTGTTGCCGTGATTACTTGGTTACAATTTGACTTGAGCTATCCATGGAGGAGGGAACAGTAACGATGTCTTTCATTGGTAAATGATCAATAACGGAACGGAGAAAAATCGCCCACACGCCAAAATGATAAAAATTGTCGCTAAAAACTGTGCAGTGGAAATAGTCTGGTACCCAGTTCAATCGTCTCACGAAAAGACAGGAGCTCTTAATGGGAACAAGACAAACGAAACATACCGCGAGTTTGCGATTTTGCGGCCGGAAATCTGCTCCCTGACCCGCGAAATTTTTCATTTTTGTGGCAGTTATGAACCGTCCAACAGTTACCAATGTTTTCCCTTACCGCCGTAAAGCATTTTGCAGTGGTTCTGCTTTTGTTTGAGAGTACTCAAAGCCAAGGTAAATGGCATTTTTGGTTTCTTGAAAATAAAAAAAATGTCGTAAGCGATGTATGTTGTTTTTCCATTGACAAGTTACGATATTACAGTTTAAATGCACTCCATATGTGTTTATCTACTCCTGAGTCCTAGAATTATGATGAGGCTCCACTATAGTTCTAGGAGTAGTGTTTATCCAGTTGTCATATAAATTTGTTATTGAACACAAATTATTTTAGTTGAATTAAATCACACTCTTGGATTTTGGAATTTATGGAAACGCAGTGGCTATTGTTACGGCAGCCGTAACGCATTTCCCATTTTCTATCGTTACGGTAGACTGCAACCTGGCAACTTTTATAAAAAAAACATGACAAGAAAATATAAAATTAGAAGGAAAAAAGTGAATTTGAACTTTATGAAATTCGGACTTTATTTCCCTTTTAAAAAAAATCCTCCAAAGCCTCAGGTTAGAAAAGGAAAAAAATTCGAGTGCAAAACTGAAATTCGAACCCGCAACCTCGCGGTGCAAAATCCTACCCTCTATCGGCTGAGCTGGCGCACTGCTCGATAAAACGTGGGGAAACAAATAATTATATACCTGCGTGCGTATCAAAAAAAAATCGTAGAGGGCGCTAAACAACGAGTGCCGTAACGATAGCCACTTCGTTATGGAAAAGAACAATTAAGGTGCTATCTGGGTATTGAAAATATTCCAAGCATTTGATTTTGAACGATCTTAATATTTAATAAATAAATAATAAATTTTATAAAAATGTTGCCATCTTTTTTTTTTTTATTAAAAAAGGCAGTGGATATTTGACTGTGAACTGTCCAGTCCCCGATTGTTTTCGTTGTTGAACAGGTACTGCACTGAACATGTGCAGTGAGTGTTTTGTGGCTTAGAAATGTTTACCATGACCATGGTCATGATGGTGGTGACGAATCTTTGTCGCATTTTGCGCTTACATTGTCGTCGTGACTTCGTCTTCAGGAGACGGGAATCGGACCTTATTGCAATTTTGGACTTTTTTTGGCCTTCCAAAAAAAAAAAAACCCAGAGGCAGAATTTTTTTTAAAATTAAACTATCCTCATATTTTATCCCACAGATATTCAAGGACGGGTCAATTTAGGGTCAGATCCAAGCTCGACGATCTCGGAGTCCTTCCTTTTCAATGTAAACATTAATTCTGGGACGTTGCCGCTTTATTTCGATCTCTACAATGTGACAGATGACAGCTCGGCCACGGGGGATGCATTTGACGAAGATGTAAGCGAAAGTGTGCATGTAGTTTGACATCAAGCCCAATAAATTCGGGCTAAATATCTGGGGAGGGGAGTGCTGAAAATAGACTTTCTCAGCTGTGGGCCAAGTAAAAAAAAAAAAACCAGTTTCTCGTTCTCGCCAGTTTCCTTTTTCCTGGCTAACGAGTCATTTGTTCCTATTTTTTTGTAAATCTTACATGTCAATATATTTTGTCTTTTATGTATTTCCAGCAAATTGGTGGCTATGTTTACAAGTTTAGAATCTGGTAGAAAGGGTGACGGCTCATTTAGACGCTATAGTGTCAGTAAAAGAGTCGAAAATGGAAGAATCCTGCTTTAAGAATCCGCCATTTTGTGGGGAAAAAAGGCCGCCGCCTCCCGTTTATTTTTAAAAGTTACTTTTTTTTTACTTGGCCTAAAGTGTTCCAACTTAAGTTGTTCCCAACTTTAGTTTCAACTTACACACTTCCCTGGTTTTGGAATACTATGTCCTCTGCTCCTACATGTAGATGTCTAGTTCCCATACAATTTTAAGCGGGAACATTTTTGAGAACTTTTTGTTGCCAAATCTCCGGTAACCACATCCAAATCACAGCCAAAAAGGGCACATTTCCCAGACGATTTTCCCACAATCTGTGGAAATACATGTTTTCACAACACTTACCCTAACCCTCACCCTCCAGGGTATTGTGGCTAGAAAGCCTGCCAAATGCAGCAACATGCAAAACTTGTCTAAGTGACAAGCCTGCCCATGGTAGGTAGCAAGATCCATCAGGCCAAAAGTTTCAAGGCCAAACTGCCTCTGGGTCCATGGTCACTGAATGCAGCAAGATACAACTGTGGCATTATTCAATTGGATTAATGGCTCTCTCATTGTTTCAGAACTGACTGTTTAAAGCTACAGTCCATCATTTGTAATTTATGCATTTTGTTCGTTTGAAGCAACAAAAGAGTTCAAAATCTAATGAAGGCTACTGAGCAACTAACCTGATGAAGTTTCAGCTAAGCTTCAGCTGTACATTCCGAGAAAATAGCATTCTAAGATCTCAATTTCAAATCAAAAGTTACTGAATCATGTTTTGAATTGTTTGGAAATGCAGCTATACGCGACGTCGCGCACTGATCCGACGAATTATAACAACCGCGCGTGCGTGTGCGTCGTTCCAATACTTGTGCACGCTGCGATGAATAACAAAACGAACTACTAATTTAAATTTTCCTACGGTGCTTCTTAAGAATCACTGTTGGAAATGCCTTCTTTCGTTGATTACTTCAAAATGACAGCTTCCCAGAAAGAATAATTTCACAGGGAGTTTAATTCCCTTACTATCTTTCAACCAAGTTTGTTTATCAACAATAATTACGCCAGTTACTTTTCGGATGGCTGCAAATGATGGACTCTAGCTTTAAATGCACTGGTGTTGAATTCAGAGCTGCAAATTTTCAGGTTTTAACCTGAATGCAGGTTTTTCTTCAAAAAATGTGACAAATTAAAAGTGCTGGATTTGGTCTTACACATCCTAAAAACACATTTTTAAAAGAGGGCAAGGGTAGTTTCAGGTTTTTTAGTAGTGGTTCAGGTTTTGTTGTTGATATATTGGTGGCATCAGTGTTTCCCCTGGCTAATGAACTGGGCGAGGTGGTAACAATTCAAGTTGATGATTGAAACGAAATTTATGCAGTCTGCAAACTGAAAAGAATGCAGCACTCGCAAAAATGCGCAATGATTCCAAAAACACATCGAAATTGTGAGTTCTTGATACATGGAGGTAAAGGAAAACACTCATATATTACACAAAATGCAAATTTTTCAATTGATATTTCCTTTTTTGCCAATCTTCACAGCGAGGTGGTGATATTGGCAAAAAATTGAGCGAGGTGGTCATTGAAAGTAGCGAGGTGGGCCGCCTCAAGTTTGAATGGGCAGGGGAAACACTGGGTGGCATCTCCAGGGTTGATAGCTGAATGCATGCACAGAGCACCTGACTTTGCCACCTGCAAGCTTTAAAAAAATGACGGAAAAAGGCATGCATGTACATAGTTGATTTTTTATGTTTGACATCTCACATGTAAATGGAATCAGTTAGTGCTTATTCACTCCCATATGTATTTTTGTTCTTGTTTCGAAATCAGGTGGTTGTGACGTGTAGCATAATAACCGCTTTCACGGATGGGGATTCTGAGATTCAGTTCACCAACACAGGCACCGTGCCGCTCAGAAATGGAGACACAACGGGAACAGTGTCATTTGAGTGAGTCCAAGAAAATCTTGATCCAATTCTGAACCATTACAAGCAATTTCAGCAAATTTGCTCTGAACAAGCCAATTAACCCTGCGCGGAGTGGCCTACGTACCCCGGGTACGCAGGTGACCGAATTTTTTGAAAAAAAAAAAAATTAAGGGGCAAATGACGTTCACCTTCCATCTAATCCTCATTCAACCCATGCCAGATCAGCTGGTTCAATGGACTTTGCAGCCAGGGCTACACCCGAGCCGTGTCAACAACCTTGGGACCAGGCCTCCTGCCAAGTCTCATTGAAATAAACACCTGTAACTTGACACAGCCATCTCCCTTCAGCCACAAACCGCAGCCACCAGTCAATTATCTTTTAAGTGCCCTGTCTGGCAACTGTCTTGACACTGTCTGGCACGTGGCTTTTTGTTGTTTTGACATGGATAGGGTCTTGCCTAGTGGGGGAAGTACCTGCGTCCCAAAGGTACCAGTTGGCAACTTCCGATAAAAATTTCTTGTAAACGCTGCGCAGGGTTAATAGTCTCATTGTACTTGTTTGTTTGGCAGTCTTATAACAAAGTCCTTGGCAAGTAGTACAGGTCTAGTACATTTGAAAATATTAACAGATTCTCTTCAAATTTCAAAGTGAACTTGTGTCATTTTTTGTTGTTCAGAAGAATATTACTGACAATTTTGGAAAAACTTCACACTATAAACAAACTTTAGAAATCATAATTTTTTCACTTTTAGAAATATCATTATTTTTTTACTGTTGGAGGTAATTTTTTCACCACAAAAATACACATTGTGAATCTTGGATACCCTGGCTACTCAAAACTTTGGAAATTCCAAAATTGATTTTGACATGATTTCCCACACAAAGGCAACTTCAGACGCCAATAACTCATAACAAAGTTACGGGGGACATTCCTCGTTTAGCCTCAGCAGGTCACAAATGTAGTTAAATTTGATGTTTTTGAATCATTTTAACCCTAAAGGGGCCGGGTTATTTTGACCATCTCTCAAAGGGTTTTGGAATTATGGCTAATTAATTATTCATATGTACGAATGACAATTCTGCTCTGTGTACACGACGTATATGCGAAAATTCAGTTTTCACGGCGCGTAGCGTCGGAAAATTTTTCGCTAAGCGGCAACCCGTCGTTCGATTTTTATGTTTTTGGTATCAAAATATGCGCAAAGCTCGAGGCTAAAAAGTCATAACAGCTCAGCTCGCGGAAAAAGATTTTTAAGAGGCTATCACGGAAAATGTTGAGGGGGGGGTGGATTCCGCCCCCCACCCCCGGCCCCTTTAGGGTTAAATCGATCCACTTCTGTGACCTTCCCCAGAATTGGTTTTTTTTTTAAACAGTGAACACTGTTGCTTGTAGTTTTAGCAAGACCAAAATTTGGAGAAAATTTTTCCCTGCTAACTCTCTTTCGGTCCTTTTTTTTCCCTTCGCTGCAGCATCACATCCCAGGGGCGACGTATCGAGGTGCAGTGCAGTGGGGAGACTGCTGCCGCTCCACCAGGCACGACGTCGTATTTCAGCCTAGGCACGTCGGCCGGACAAACTGGGTAAATTGTGATAATCACAGTTTTTTTTAAAAGGGACCTTGAAATGAATATCTTTACTCAAACATACTTGTATAAATATTATTGCCTTGTAATTTCACACACTTGTTAAAAATAAAGAAAGTCTGTCGCGAGACAATGTGGCCCATGGAACAGGCTGACCTTTATCTCCAGTTTTCCTTGGCATGAAACAACTGAGAATATATTTCTGTTCCCTGGATGGGATGCCAGTCCATCGCAGGTTACTCCCCAGCTAATGGCAGTACAAAATGCCATTACAAAGACTGAAAATGAAGCATGTTAGCTTTTTAAGGCCAAAAAAAAAATACTTCTGCTTCCGATTACATGGTATTTGAAAATAGGGCAGGTAGGTAGAGTTTTTTTGGGGGCCAATTTTTGTTTGTGTACGATCATATGGAGACGTCTGGGTGTAGTTAAGGGTAAAGGTTTTTTCCTCATATTTCCCATAAATAAATTGGGGTAAGGGCTGTCAGAATAGGGTAGGTAGGGAAACCAGAAGCAGAACTATTGGGTTTTTTTTTGTTGGCCTAAGCATACTGTGAAATATATTTGCATGCACACTTTAACCCTAACCCCTTGAGCACTTTTACTAGAAAGTATCCTGAATCCGCCAAAATCCATAAATTTTGTCATGCAAATTTTTTTTGATGTCCTGAGTCCATCAGAATCTACCGGTGTACACGTACCTCATACACACCAAACAAATAGCCAAGGAGTTAAACTGTTGAGATCCTGATCCATCAAAGTCTTCCAACTGCTCAATATGGAGGTATCCTGAATCCATCAAAATCTTACAGTACCGCTAGGCCTACTGTCCTGAATCCATCAAAATCCCCAAACTTTTTCAACATGTAGGTATCCTGAATCCGCCGAAATCCTCCAAAATAGGGGTGTGGCTTGTGATGGATTCAGGTACGTTAGGGTCAATGAACATACTGTTGATATTACTTCTGAACTTTGTTGACTTTTTTTTGTGGTTTTGGTTTAGGTTTGTGACAATCAAGAAAGACCCTGTAGTGAGTCTGTGTAGTGATCAGATCCTGGTTCCCAACGCTGATGGAATAACTACAGGACAAGTGACCCTAAAGCTCAGGTAGGAACAGCTTTTTCTTTTTAAAGGAAGAAGGCATTCCTTCCCCCCCCCCCAAGATGGTGGATATATTCTTCCATTTTCTGGTGTCTTTTGCTGATAGTTTGTGTCCAAAGGAGCCGTCATCCTTTCTACCTGATTTTGAAGTTGCAGATTTGTCCGGAAACAAATTACATGTAAGATAAAACATGTTACAAATAGTACGTGTATGATAAAAAAAAAAAAAAAAAGGACAAAAAGGGGAAGGGGGGGGGGGCACAACTGGGAAAAAGGAACATGTTCTGATTCCTACAAAATCCACCATCGACCTCATACATATTCATGAGTGAAAGCCCATTTCTTACTGGTCCATTCACCATCAAGTTTCAGTCGCTCGTTTTGTTGAACTATCGCATGGTTTACCCGTGCAATAGTCTACTGACATTATAGGGGACCACTTTACATCCGTCACGTTAGCAGTTTTTCCAATGGTTGTATTTTTTTTTTGCAGTACCTGAAACCGCCCAAAAAGGTTGTTGAAATGTGAATTGACATGCAGGCTTATAAACAATGTAATATGTGTTGAATCATTTCTTTCTTTCTTTTTGTTTCTAAAATCACCCTCAAATTTCAATCAAAAATGGACGGAAAAAATTACCTAAGTTTTCCGTCCACTATTTGATGGAAATTTGAGGATAATGTCAAAAAGCAATATTAATAATCAACTCAGATTATCTTTAGCAAAAGGCTACACATTCATTTATGTGTTGAAATTCTTTTTTGGTGGTTTCAGGTATTTAATAAAAAATCACAACCATTGGAAAAACTGCTAACGTGAAATTGTGGAACTATCACATGGGGGTAGTGCACACGCACGAGCATCGCCCTAGTTTCATGAAAAGATGGCGGCGCAGGATAAATGATGTGTAACTTGACTATTAAACTTTTGGTGAATATTTTACGAGGTATAGTAAAACAAATATAACATGGTTTACTTCGGGTGGATAGTCGATATAAGTTGCCCTCGGTATTGGAAGTTGACAAATTTATTCCCTTAGCTTTGCCTCGGCACTACATGTAGTGTTCTATTATTAAATGTTTCAATTTGTGCTTTTTTGTCTGCAGTGAACCAGTGGAGACATCAAATGTTACAGGAATATGTCAGGTTACCGGTGTGCAACCAGGTAATGTATTAACCCTAACCCCCTAGGCCCTTGTTGCTTACAACCATCCTCAATCCTCCAAAATCCTCCAAAATTGTTCAACTCCGCCTAAATTTTTCAAAATTGTCAGACAGTCCTGCCTCAAAATGCATTCATCCTCAATCCTCCAAAATCCTCCTCATCCCAAAACTTTGCACTCGTGTTTAAATGAAGGATAACCAACGCCAAATCCTTCAAAATCATCAGACAGTCCTGCCTCAAAATCCATTCATCCTCAATCCTCCAAAATCCTCTTGTGCTTCAATCACCATTCATCCTCAATCCTCCAAAATCCTCATGTGCTTCAATCACCATTCATCCTCAATCCTCCAGAATCCTCATTTGATTCAATCACCATTCATCCTCAATCCTCTAGAATCCTCCAAAACCGCCAGGAGGATTTTGGAGGAGTGAGGTGGGTTAGGGTTAATATACACATATAGACTGGCAATGAGGTCACTAGTGCACGTCTATGTACCCCGAGAGACTGTGAGTGACCAGAAGAGGGTGCCATTTCCAGAGGTCGAAATAGTGACTGAATTATGCCAGTCCATATGTGTTTTATAACTCACTTCTGTCCAAAATATAAATAAGACAAGACAGTTTTCAGGGTTTATGTTTCCCTGGTTTCAGTTTTTCAGTCTAAGTTTTTGAGAGGTTGCTGGAACCAGTCGAAAATTGTTGAGTGCAGTGACCAATCAGCATAGACGTGCACTGAGCACTTAACTCTGCAAATTACACGCGCGCAATGTCTTGACGTGCGTCAAGTTCATGCTGACGCAAATTTCTTGCAATGGCTGGCACTGGCCTATAGTAGTGAGCCCCACGTGATCGTGTTTCAGCCAACGGGATAAATACCAGCTAGAGGCGTGTTATAAATAAAAATATTTTAATACAAAATCAGGACTTTTCTTCCCTTGTATTAAAAAACACCCTTGACTGTGCCAAATCTAAAGTTAGGTGTGTTTTCTTGTGCCAATGCTGTTTAGGTGAAGCCCCCTGGTTAGAATTTGAGGCTGTTCGGATTTTAAGTGGTGAAGACAGTGCTGTGGTGAGTTTGACATAAAATCCTTTTTTACTTCCAAAATTTTGTGATTTGCTCTGTCAAATATTCTTTTAAATTTCAGCTTAAAACAAATTCAAATATAGTTTTGTAACTATTTTATTTGTATTTTATTATATAGGGTGGTCCAAAATGGAAAAAAAGAAGACTTGCACTACCCTGAGACTAAAACCACATAATTATACCAAGAATGCATGGAGAATCTTTTTAGTTGGAAATTAAACCAAGATCGCCCGATTCGGTCCAGAATTTTTTGTTCTTGAGCCTATTTTGTGAAACAAGGCGGGGGTCATTTGACTTACATTGTAATTGATAGAGGGATTGTTATGAAATAATACCCACAGGGGAGTGTGTGGCCTAGTGGTTAGGGTTCGTGACCCATGATCAGAGGGTCCGGGGTTCGAATCCAGCCGCTGGTCATATATTGTGTCCTTGGGCAAGGCACTTCACCCCCACTTGCCCCTCTCCACCCAGGAGTATAAATGGGTACCGGCATTAGCTGGGGAGTAACCTGTGATGGACTAGCATCCCATCCAGGGGGAGTAGAAATATTCTCAGTCGTTTCATGCTACTGAAACCGGAGATAAACGCCGGCCTGATGAGCCACATTGGCTCGGGACAGACTTTACTTTACTTCACAAAATAGGCTCTGCAGAAAAAACCACTGGACCGAATCAGGTCTTTTTTGGTATCATAATTCTTCTAAAAGGATTGTCCATCAATTGGTATACAAGTGGTTTGAGTCTCAAGGTAGTGGAAGTATGTGGTTCCTTTTTTTTTTTTTTTTTTTTTAACCACACCGTATAAGTTCTAAGATTTTATTATTTTAAATTTATTTAAGACAAATTTTGGTTTTAAGCACTTTTGGTACTAATGTGATGACAGGAACATACTTTTTTTTGTTTTTATTTATATTTTGAATTTTAGATGGTATACCGCATCACGGGAACCGGTAGCACATTGCAGGTCAGGTGCTCGGCGGAATCTGACGACGGAGTCCAATTTCAGACGGCGTTATCGGAGAGTAAGACCCAAAAAACACTGTGATTTTATCTGTTATGACACCTCAGATTTTTAAATTTCTTTCTCCGTGTTCTTCAAGAAATTCAATTCTATTCTCTCTTAATTAATAAATTTTCAACTATGTTTTTTTTTTTTTAATCAAAAAGTTTTATATTTTTACAGGTGGGGGGGGGGGGCATCTAAAACCTTCTGGAAATAGGTTTTTATATTTGGCACAAACAGATCTGCCGTTCAAGCAGACTGGCTCCCAGGCTGCGCATAGGCTCCCAAGCTGCACGACACTTATTGTGGGGCAGGAACCAGCCTAATTGTATGAGCCTACCCCAGAGTATGGGCTAATTTCTTGGCCAAAATTGAATTAAAAATTTGTACAGGACAAATTCAGTAACTCAACGTGGGCCACATTTTGTTTTCAATCGATGTTTCATTCTTAACCTCGGTATTGCTAGAAACTAGCAATTTAGAAAAGGAGTCTTTTTTGTTGTTGACAAAACTCGAAAACGGCACAAGGAATGCAACTTGAACCAGTTTAACCAGTTTCATACAATTTATATAGAGTCTGTGTCGGAGCAATGGCTGTCAAAAAAGGTTACCAGCCAACCCATAATGCGATATGTATGAAGGTCACTGGCTCCCATCTTGTTTTGGTTAAGCAAGAAAATTCGCTATGCGATATTGTTTTGACACTTTGCATTCCAGCTGGAGACATCCTCTTCGACTTCGAATCCGGTTCCGTCCAGATGTTTCCGGCTTTTTCTGTAGTCACCGGGGACAGGTTCACACCCATCTTGGCACTCTCAGACCCCCTGCGGACCGGCGAAGCCGACGTCACGTTTTTCTGCCAATTGACGCCACTCAACACGACAGACGAAGCCCAGGATATCATTGACCAGGGAGAGTGCGTGGCACCGGTGGACGGGGTACCAGGAACAACTGGTAACGTATTTTACAATCCAACCTTAAAAAACAACTGATGTGGTGTATTTTGTATTCCTTGATGATTCCTTGTTGTGTCAGTACATGACAGTAGGCAAATGAGCTAACTTTTCTCACAGATGTTTTCAATGAGCAAATTTTGGGTTCATAATTTGAACAGAAAACCCCTAACCTGAACGGTGTCTTCCTGAAATGACAACAATGTCTTCATTTGTCAGGAAAAGCATGTACAACTTCAAATGTTTTAATAATGAAGTGCAATTTGCAATATTAACCAACAAGGGTCGTCAAATAGTTTTCATACATTTAAGAGTAAAAATTTTATAAAATGTGTTCCTCAGAAAAATTCATGTCAAAGACCCTTTAGGCCAAAAAAAAAAAGTCTCCGGTTTCTGGTATGGAGCTTGTCCAAACAGTGGTGCGGCGACGCGGCTTTTTTTTTTTTTTACCCGACTTTTTTGCTTCAAATGTCGGCTGATGACTGCAAATGGTGCCCGACTAAACTTAGTTCAAATATATGGGAGTCCAGAGAGGCCACATAAAGCTTATTCTCGATCATAACCCCATCTAAAAACACGTTGAAATTGCGCAGCAGCAGAATTCCACTCAAACCAGTGAGTTTGGCGGTTTTGAGACATCATCTTTCATTAAAAAAAAAACTTTTTCATTTTGCCGACGCGCATGGCTATGGTGACGCGCGCGCATACCAGAAACCGGAGACTTTTTTTTTTGGCCTTAAGTGATGTGTCTACATAGTATTGCTCATATTTTTTAAAAGGTTTATTTATATAATTAACATTAGCTTATTTTTTATTATATTTTGTAAAGCGCCTTGAGAGTATTTTTTAGGCCGATTTTGATGCTATATACTTTTGTTCCTCCTGCAAACAAATGTATCATAAATCAGGTTTTTTTCTTCCAACCTTGAAAACAAAAGTTAACTTTTTTGTCTCATCGAACACTACTTTTATCCACACTCTAATTTTTCATATTATTTGTGTTATGTTTCAAGTATTGACTAACAATCGTCATGCTTGGTTTTTTTTTTCACACATATTTGTTTCTTATCAACTTGGTAAGTAAAAGTCTATGTCCGATTCTTTGCATTTTCTCTGTGTAGTTAGTTGCTTCTTACTTTTGCTAGATTTTGGCCAATGTTTCTTCTTTCTATCTATTTTCTTGCATTTTTTTCAGCAGGATAATGGTTTTTGCAATGAAATCGTTTGAAACGATGTGAAGTTTCTTTTTTTGCCTTGTAGCCGTTTGTGATATTAAAATTTCAAACCATGCTACAGTTTTACTTGCCATACCAAGTGCCTCTATTTTCATGTTGCAAATTTGATTGGATAATGTCATCAGCAGATGACAAAGACAGCCAATCAAATGGCTGCTTTCAAGAGAGTTTGCCAATATTGAAATACATGTCACATGGCTGTTACCATGGAAACAGCAGGACATTAGCATAGTTACAATGCAGTGAAATGGGCTCATTGGGAAGAAATAAGTCATCTTAACCAGTTTACGCCGGAGGCCGTGTATACACACACAAGTTCTGTAGTCTGGTTCCCAGACCAAAAGATTCTGACTATTCCTGATGAATATTAGGTCAGGCAGCCTCCGTGGCGAAAAGTAATCATGACGACATGGATGGCCCTTTTTCAATGCTCGGGTTCGTTTCCGATTTTGCTTTATCGCTTGTATCTTTTAACCCTAACCCCCTAGGCCCTTGTTGCTTACAACCATCCTCAATCCTCCAAAATCCTCCAAAATTTTCCAAAATTTTGCAACTCCGCCTAAATTTTTCAAAATTGTCAGACAGTCCTGCCTCAAAATGCATTCATCCTCAATCCTCCAAAATCCTCCTCATCCCAAAACTTTGCACTCGTGTTTAAATGAAGGATAACCAACGCCAAATCCTTCAAAATCATCAGACAGTCCTGCCTCAAAATGCATTCATCCTCAATCCTCCAAAATCCTCTTGTGCTTCAATCACCATTCATCCTCAATCCTCTAGAATCCTCATTTGATTCAATCACCATTCATCCTCAATCCTCTAGAATCCTCCAAAACCGCCAGGAGGATTTTGGAGGAGTGAGGTGGGTTAGGGTTAATGTTCTGATCAAATTTTTAAAATAAATCACTTGCTTCGTAATATCATACAGTTATGATAATACAGTTTGATGTTTCTGTAAGATAACATTGACTAAAGTTGATCTGGAATCTTCAAAATTAGGCACCCAAATAGCACTGTAGCAGGCGGAGCCGAATGAAGACCGAGTCTTGGAAAATCTCAGTAACGGTCGTCAAATTCAAAATTGTACATGACGCAGCAAAAAGTTCAGCCATACGATCCGAGTATATTTGATGCATAAAATCATCGTTTAATTTCAAATTTTCTAAATGAAAGCATTGAATATTAATTATCAACTCATTTAAAATAAAATTAATAAGCAATTAGCAGTTAATTAAACCTATATTATATACTCCGGAGGCTACCGGACCTAAGATTCATCAGGAATAGTCAGAATCTTTTGGTCTGGGAACCAGACTAAAGTTCTGCAGTATTCAGAAGGGATGACAGATAAACACGCAAGGGAGCGAGGCCGAAAATATCTGTCATTGACCCGCTTGCAGCAAGCGAGGCAGGAAATACGAGTGTGCTGCCTGAGAGATGGCTTCAACCCGCCTGGCTTGAGATCGAGTGAAGTAATTCTGCACCTCGTTCCATTCTTGTCAAAATAATCCCGACGTGTACTGGTTAAATCCAATTTCATTTTCATGTCATAATAAATATTTTTTGCATCTGAAATATTTTGCTAATGCTTTCTGTGAATGAATATACAACTCTGGTGGCAGAAAGATAACAGTTGTGGCCTCTTCTCCAGTCGTTTATAATTCTGCTCAAATCATCATCCATAGATATCTGCAAGAAACCATACTAATCATGACATTGCATCAAGCGCATCTAGAATTAGGCTGCTATGTAGGCTATATTAATTTATGCTTTGAAACTTAAAGGTAATAGTCAACATTTGGTTTTGCTGTAATTTTCAGAAATGGATGGATTTGGTGGTTAGTAGTTTATAGCAAATATTGTTACACTGACCTGTTTCAAGTTTTGTGATCATAGATGCTGGAAAAACCAAGAAAAAGGTGCTGTTGTTGTAGTCTGGTTCCTTGACTCTACTTCAGACCAAATGGAGCAACTTATAGACTTTGGGGAATTGTTAGGTCAGGGAACCAGACTTCGGGGAATTGTTAGGTCAGGGAACCAGACTAACTGGATTGCATCTGTTCACAGATGTGTAACTGATTGCAAACAAAATGTGGAATTACTAAATTTGGTAAAGTGGGGGTAGTATTTGAAACTAACTCATTTTTTTCCAACATTGGCCGACCATCGTTGGAAATTGAATAAAATGACAGCACACCAGGTGTCATGATTTTAAAGGATGCTTGAGACTATTTAATAATAATTTGGAAGATCTGTTTTTGAATGGCTGCAAATGTTGGATGTTACCTTTAAGCTTTTCATTCTTAAAACTGCTATGCTAGCTTGCTAAATAGATACAGTGTAGATAGATATTTCTTTTTAAAATCTTTTGCTTTAAAGTGGGTACAGCAATAAGGGCTTTAGCAGGGTTTTTTTTCTGAGATCTTGCTTGAAATTAGTATAGACAGCAATTTTAATTCTTTGCTTGGGCCTTGGAATTTCAAATTCAGTCGTTTTGTGTAAAACTCTAGCATGAATAGGATTCCTGTTAGGAATGGCTTGCTGCTGTGCATGCAGGCTTTCTCAACAATAGTTTGTTCCAAATGGGCACATGTTCCCAATTGGGAACAACATGTTTGACCAGAAAGGCTTGAGAGAAACGGAAATGTACGTTTTTTTTGGCAGAGCCTTGTCTACAATCATTAGCCTGATAATTGTGAACATTGTGATTATGATGATAATGGGAACTTGGCACATTTCCAAGAAAGTTAATAATTAAAAACGAACGTTCCACCGGGAGCACTAAGCAACCTTTTTTCTCTCTTAAATTCACAGATAATGCAACAACCGACCAAATGGACATTATAACAAATGCGACCTTATTACCCAACACCACTTCTCCGGGAACGGCGTCGCCCGCACCTACCGCGCCCATTCCTGCCACGTCTGCACCTGCCACGCCTGCAACTGCCACGCCCGCAACTGCCACGCCCATACCCACCACACCCGACCCAATCACAACTGAATCTCCCACCTTTGTCCCCCTTCCTACCAACGTACCTTCACCAGCCAACGACACGGCCACGTGGGTCCTGGCCCAGCCGCAGATCGTGTTCCAAGAGGGCGACGCGGCGAAAGTGTTGGACATCCAACTGCGTAACGCCGGGAGGGGTTTCCAGGGCGGCTTGCTGGTGCGATGCTGCTCCACGCCCGATCTGAACACCAGCCCCAAGTACACGGACTTGTCTAGCTCAGTCGTAGCCAGGATGGAAGTGGCTGCGGCTAGGTCTGTCAACTGGACCAGTGCTACAGGTAAGAATGAAACAGAGAAACAGGAATGGCTGATCTGCACTGTCTATGACTATGGCTAATCTCCACTTGTGTGCAGTGGTAAAAGGGAAGACGTAGTCACAAAAGTTTGTGTTTTGACTTTGGCATTTGCTCAACAAGTCCTATGTGATTCTGTTAAAAGAGAAACTTTCTTATTGCCAAATAATCATAAAGGGTTTATCAATTCCAATAAAACAAGATACAGGGTGAGTTAAAAAAAAGCGGAACCCAACTCCATATTTAAACAAATATTTAGCACCAAACATAATGACTGGTAAAGCAATTTCAAGCTACTTTTTATGGAAAGAAAATACTGAAATTGGTCAATCTTTTCAAAGAATATCACCATAGCCCCAATATGCTAAAGAATTGCGCAAATTGTGATAAAAGCATGACATTTCGCATGTTGGTACTTCATGCCATGAAGACAAGTTTCAGATATGGAGACATTTTATATTTGACCTCTGGTGACCTTTAGAGGTCAATGAACTTTTACATACACTATTTATTACTTGCAAAAAAATTCTTTGGGGTCTGACTTCATGACATGTTGTACAATAATTATTAAAATACACTCATTTGCCCTAATTAGACTTCGGTCATGGTATGAAGACCTCGCATGCCAAGTTTCATGCTTAAATCACAAAATGCACAATTCCGTCCCAGTGCCGCACCACAAATTTAAACACCATGACCCTAAAACCTCTTTCATCCAAATCAGCGATTTCAAGAATCGTCGTCACAATTGTCTTCAAACATCACCAGCGATAAAACCTCAGTTTAAAAGTTAAAAATATTTAACAAAGTCCTTTTAAAGGCTCGTCTATTAAAAACCAGTGAATTTTATAAATCATATTGTTGGCCTAACCAGGGTAGTTGATAACGATATTGCGTACTACTGTTGTTGACAATTGTTGAAACAAGTATTCTGTGCCATTTTCTTTGTTGTTCCAAACAGTCAGAAAACACACTAAATTGCTTTTTTTTTTAGACGAGACAGGCTTTAGGGTCATTGTGTTTAATTGGTGATATTCTTTGAACGGATTGAGCAATTCCAGTAATTTTTATCATCTAAAAGTAGCTTATGAAATTGGCTTTCCAGTCAATATTATGTTTGGTGCAACATATTTTTTTTAAATGTGAAATATATTTTAGGGGTTGGGTTCAGCTTTTTTGACTCGCCCTGTAGAAATTTTTACAGGGTGAAATTCACCCTAACTTAATTTTTTCACTAGCCATTTTCACAAGTCTGCAATAGAATGTTTTAATTTGTGTACCAGAATGTCATAATCAACAATGTTATTTACAATAATTTTGACACGCAAGGCAGACTACTAAATAGGGGATTGGTTTTGACTAGTCCGCCGCTGTTTTTACTCAAATTTGGCGAATGGACTACTGCTAAGGTCAAACCCTGGTTTTTACCCTTCAGTAAAGAGCAAAACTCATAGCAAGATAATTTTTGTTCTGTTCCAGTGTCCGCAGATTTGCAGACAGAAACGCCCATCACCAACCCAGCATACACGGAAGTCTCCCCCTGCCCATGTGACCTGACGACCAATCGCTGTGACACCAATTGCTGCTGTGATCCGGTAAGGCCAAATTGTTGCAATTTCTTGTCAAAAATTGTTACTATTTACCCTCAGAATCGAATGAAATTTGTGATTTGCTTTAGCCTCCCCCCCAAAAAACCCCTTTGTCTGCCCCTCCCAAAAAAATGCAATTGAAACAACATGGCTGTTTTTAAATTTGTTGACATTTATGTTGTAGTTTTAAATGCTTTTGTTTAAAATGAATTTTGCAGCCCAATTGGGCGCATGTCAGGTCGTAGTGGCCCTTTAATTAATTTACAATGAATGCACAACTTATGATTATCCCAGCAATACCAAACCTCATTCACCACTTTAACGCTCAAGGTCTATATTCTAAGCAAAAATCAATTTCAAAATAGTTTTTTTAGAATATAATTTCTCTGCCTAGCAAAATTCAGTTTAGCAATTCTATGAAATTAGCCTTAGTAGTGAGACTTGAATCAACCTTTTTTATCCCCCTGGGCCCAATTTCATAGAGCTGCTTAAGCATAAAATTTGCTTAAGCACAAGAAACCTTGCTTAATAAAATCAGGTTACCCACCAAAACTCCATGCGATGTACACTGCTTGTGACTGGTATTTAGCTGTTTTTACTTAGCATAGCAATCGCATGGAGTTTTGGCCAGTTTACCTGATTTTGTTAAGTAAGACTATTTTGTGCTTTAGCAAATTTTGTGCTTAAGCAGCTCTATGAAATTAGCCCCAGGCTGTAAGCTGGAGGGAGATATTGCGATAGCGAACTCCTTCTGTGTATGTCTGTCTGTCTGTCTGTGTGTTATGTTTTGGTTAGGTCAACTCTTGTCAGCACGATAAATTGAGATATACTTTACTTGGGAACTTGAAATTTGGTTTGTGGGTTGTTCTTGGTAGTCTTAAGAAGCCTATCGCTTTTGGGGCCGACAGGTCAAAGTCATTATTGCTAAAACAATAGAAATCTTGTAAACGCGAAAAACTTGAGAAATACTTACTTAGGAACTTGGAATTTGGTTTGTGGGTTGCACTTGGTAATCTTATAAGAAGCCTATTGCTTTTGGGGCCGACAGGTCAAAGTTCAAGTTCACTACTGCTAAAACAATAGAACTCTTCCCTTTTGGTTAGGCACACTGACAAGTATCCATATTAACTGACTGTATAAAAACTGCCAGCATGCCAGGGGGGTTGCGCGAGTTTCACTTGCAGTATTTTTGTATTTTACAGACCACTTTTCCTTTGTGTTTTTTTATCACTAGCTCTGTACAGAAGATGACATCCTTGCTTTCAGCTGTATTTCTGGGATACCCGGTGGCAATTTTACCAAACAGCATGCTTATAATTGCTCTAACGAGGATATCTACCGACCGGACTATTTCCCATTCCTCTGTGTGCAAACGGACAATAGCCCTTTCCTAGGCCTGTACTACACCGCGAGGTCTGGTGCGCGGGATGCCGCAGGTTATAACACCCTCAAAGCCACGCCTTCAGACATTCAGGGTACGACAAGCTTTGAAGATACCCAGCAACGTTCGTTGGACTTCCAGAACGCCGGTAGCGGTGGCTACAAGTTTGGATTCCCTGTTCAGACACTCTTCGAGACGAACACGAGAGGTTTTCTTGCTTTGCCCGAGGCGGATCCCAGTGGAGGTTGTTCATGGTTGTCACCGATCCAGTTCCAAGTTGACGCCGCTTCCCGGTGCGACGTGAATCCAGTTCAGGGTCTTTGCACAGAATCGTCAGTGCTGAGTGCCCGCGCATACGCCCTGTCGACCAATATGGGTTACCCCCCGTGCCCGAATGCACCAAATGTTCTGGCGAATTACGGAGGAAGTGTCGCGACTCCGACAACTGTGCGATATCACTGTACAGATGACATCAACCCATACGTTGTCCCAAGCACAGGGGTTAGCGAACTCTTCCCTCCAACTGGGGAATCTTTCTTTCCCGACAATAACGGTAGCAGTACCGTCCCGCTACCTGCCCGCTGTGCCTGGGATGATGGTTACACCCTTCCACCAATCCCCGATTACGATGAAGCGACATACCTCTGCAGCAGCGCAGTCCTTGATGTCCGCTATGAGCTTTTCTGGCGTGGTAACCAAATCGTCCAATTAGACTCGGTCGTCATCATAGGAACTGTGGCCCTTTCACCAGACAGCTCCTTTAACTCAACCGACGAGAACGAACAACCAATTTTTGTAACCCCGCCCCCAACCGAGCCTCCTACCACACCCACCCTGCCCGACAGCACAACAGAAGTGACAATGAATGCAACAGATACTGATCTGATTACTGTTTACGAAAACTACACCGGACCAACGCAACAGACAACAACCTCAATCCAGACGACTGCTACACAAACGACTGAATCTCCAACGACTGAATCTCCTACAACGGAATCTCCAACAACCAATGCGCCGACATCACAAGGCCAGACGACTACCGATACACCAACAACCCAATCAGACATGACCACGGACTCGGGCATCGTGACAACAGACTCCCCCATCAACAGCACCAACCAAACCAACACCACTCTACCCTTCACCCAGCGTTTCGCCGTCACGTTTATTCACCTCCCGACGCCCCTCACTGACCCCGCCCCTGTTGATCCACCGGAAGTCGGCACCCAAGAAACTCTTTCAGGGAATCCCGGCTATATCACCGGCGAGCGGGTCTTCTCGGGTCTTGCTGTCTACGACCCGCTGGTTGAGTGCAATGACACGGGTGATTGCGCACCTGTGGATCCTCCTCAGCCTGGTGACTTTGTCCGTATCGATGATGCAGAGGTTAACAGACTGAGAGTCTGGGTACCAGGTAGGTCCAAATCTATTCTACTTTAAACTTTATGCATTGCCGAGTTTCATGAAGCTTTCAAGCAGATCATATGACTGACTGTGCAAATTTACTTGCAGTTGCAGCCCCAAGCAGTCTTTTTTCCACAGATTAACTCATGTTTTGTAATTTTGTTTAGTACTTGGAGACGGCACTCATTTGTCCTGTTCCCTGCCCTTTAATCACAAATTAAGCTAGCTGATATTCAATATGGTATCTTAGCAAACTATTTAGATGATCCCAAACACATAAAGTGACTTTTCAAACTTGCATCGTCCCCAAATATTTAGGCAAGTCCCAAAACATGACAGTGTCTTTTTGTTCGCATATATGGACCGGGTTCTTAAACTGCACAATTGCCATATTTTATTGACAAGAACAAAACAACTTTATAAGATGGAATTTTGCGTCGGGGTGATATAAATCAAACTAGGTTTTGCCCTTCACCGACGTTTTTTAAACACTGTATACTCAGTGTGTTACCTCCCGAGTGAAAGTTGGAAAAAATCACTCGGGTGGGACTCGAACCCACGACCTCCTGCTTTCTAGTGCAGATGTCTTACCACTCGACCACCGAGCTAACGGGATCGGTTTGCCGGTTCGAATCTGATGTACAAAACAACTTTATGTGCTTATCAAGTGTATGCAATCTCTTTATTTCCCTACTATTTCTGTAGGTCCAGGGAGTCTGTGCTCCCAATCCAGCCTGGCCGATGTCACGTTTGGCGAGGACCACACCTCTGGTTGCATACTCAGGCTAGGCTGGACCCGCCTCAGCAACTGCACTACGCTACGGGAGGCCATGCTGGCCGAGCTGCAGTCCACGGTGGCAGCAGACAGGATCGGCAAGGTCGGCAACGCAAACACTTCAATTGAAAACAACTGGGCCCCCATTTTCAAGTAAGTCTTGTCAAATTAGTATCTTCAACATAACCCTAACCCTCCAGGGTATTTTGGCTAGAAACCCTGCCAAACGCAGCAACATGCAACACTTTTCTAAATGACAAGCCTGCCCAGTGTAGCCAGATCCATCAGGTCAAAAGTCTCAAGGCCAAACTGCCTCAGAGTCTGAGGTCCCCAAACGCAGCAGGATACAACTGAGGCATTGCTCTACATGGGACTAGCTCTCATTGTCTTATGTTATGCACTGGTGTTGGTAGCTGAATGCATCAAAGTGCACCAGACTTTTCCACCTGATGCACTATGTTGCGTCTGGCAGGGTTAGGGTTAAGGCAAGTTCAATCAAGGACCATAGTTAACCATAGTTCAACTAACTACGGATCCTTCACACAAGGATGAACGACTGTTCTGAGCTCCAGTACAATATGCACTGAGCGGAGTTATCTTAGTAATGGGTTGGATGCGTGATAACAGGCATTTATACCCGTTGGCATGTTAATTGAAAATGTTCCAGGTGTGCCGTTCTGTCAGGTTTTTTTTTTGCATGACATCTGAAATGGAAATATTTATAAAACTGTAAGCAAAACCACTCCTTATGTATTAACAAACTTGTTCAAAAATTGTTAAAGAGGTTGTGGAATGCTCGAAGACATTTCCGTCATTTTTCGGGTATATGTAGCCTAAGGTGTGATGAAATAAAAACGACTATTGTTTCTGTCATAAAATGAGTACAAAAGGTACTTTTGAGAGCTGTTTTTCAAGTCCTGTCATGCCTGTTTCGACCCGAACGTGCAATTTGTGTAAAAATTGTCGTTGTGGGCAGCAAACAAAACACAGTAAATCGTGACCTAATAAACAGGACTCCCGATGCAGAGTAGCATAAACAGTCCTGTTTATTATGTCACGATTTACTGTGTTTTGTTTGCTGCCCGCAACGACGAGTTTTACACAAATTGCACGTTCGGGTCGAAACAGGACCTGAAAAATAGCTCTCAAAAGTACCCTTTGTACTCATTTCATGACCGAAACAATAGTCGTTTTTATTTCATCACACCTTAGGCTACATATACCCAAAAATTGACGGAAATGTCTTCGAGCATTCCACAACCTCTTTAAAAAAATGTCGGGATATAACAGCTGGTATTGTGCACTTTTTGTCATCATAGATGAGTCTAACCTTGAGTTTAGCCGAGTCGTTAATCCTTGTTTGTAGGATCCGTTGTAGGAACTAACTCTGATTGAATGGGATGCTTGTCAACCATGGTTGGACTTGTCTCGTTGCTAATTCATGACCAGCCTACTGCTGTGAAATTCTAAAATCTAAAACTGTTGTAAAATTATTTCTCAATACCCTCCCCCTATCAGCTCTGAGGAAGATATCATCCCAACTGAACCTCCACCGACGACAGTTGCCCCGACGACAGTTGATATGACAACAAATGAGCAGACAACACCGGAGTTCTTCAACGAGACGCAGTCCAGTCCCATGGACCTCCTGCAGGGATTGTGCTACGAGGTACCGACAGCAGTCAACATTGAGATCCTGTACGCTAAAGCTGGCGAATACGGCTCGGTCATCCAACGCGAGATCTTGGCAGCATACGTAACGTACGTCTCAGGCCCGAGCTGTTTATATTCAGTACTCTAGATTTTACCTTTTATACCCCAGAATGGCCGGGTTTATTTAAACTTTTCACAGCCAAAGGGAGTGATTTGTCCATTATATCTTGACCATAACCAATTTTGTGACCCTCCCTCCCCAAGCCAGTCACTTGGACCAATTTTATTAAACGGGAGTTTTGGGCTCGTTGGAAAGGATATTGAATTGCTTTCCAATGCTGTTAGCGGTGCGGCATAGGAACAGAATTGTGCATTTTGTGATAAAAACTTGAAACTTGGCATGTGAGGTCTTCATACCATGACAAAAGAGGCACCCCAAGCTCATCCAGGTTTAAAGACATCTGCAAAGTTTTCAGTTCAAATGACAAACAATTTTTTCTTTTTTTCATTAATGTCATTTTCAATTCACGTTTATGTCTGTGAGTGATTTGTCATATCCGCCGTCAATGACAAGTTAATGTTTCTCTCTATCCTGCCACCGACGCTTAATATTTCGTATTTTTCGGTAAACTTGAGAGGCTTGAGTAGAGCTTTTTCTTCAGCGTGAAAATCATGTTATGGCAGTTTAATTGATTATTATTATAATTTATGATATCCACAGATACACCAGGTCTACCGTTAAGCTGAATTGCATTGGAGCCGATGGTTTTGCCTGTCATCTGGATCAAACCTCCAACGAAACCACAGACTGGGTCCAGTCCTTTCCAGTTGCCAGCACTGTCACCTTTATGTAAGTTCCCCCAAAATATTTTTCGAATCACAGTAAAAAAAAAAACCAGAACCATGTCTGTTCGATGAACAGAACACAGGCTTTTCTGCATTTAAAAAAAATACTTGTAACAAATACCATGCCAAATTTTTGTTGAAGAAAATGTAAAAAGTTTATAAATTAATTTAAAAATTAGGTGATAACGTCATCATGACGTCACTTCAGATTTTGCACACCAATATAACAGTACCTACCTCCCCGCCAAGTCTCAAGACAATTGGATTTGTCCTTGGCATTTTTGATGATGTCATCATGACGTCAATCACATGTCACCACAAGTCTGCAAGTTATTCGCTTGCTAGTTATCCGCTATTCAAGCAATCTTCTGGACCAAGACATTTTTTGGTAATAAACTGTTAATTCCCTTGTATTTGTGACTTGACTTGCGATTTGTCTTTTGATTGTTCTGTGATTGACGCTGTTACTCTTCTGTTTGTTTTTATCCAGCCTTACTGAGCGTCAAAGCGCGAGACGCTGTGACTATGACCAGTGTGACGAGGAGATGCTGTTTCTGCTGTCGCTGCGTTTCCAGGGGGACTCGCGGACGTACACGGTTGCCATGTTAATGATTGTTGTCTTGCTCACCATAGCGTATTTTGCCATTACTAAACCTTGGTCGTTTATCATCTAACCAAAAGCCAAAATGCTTACAATACAAGCCAAAAATTGTCTGAGTTGAGTTAAGACCTCCAATTTAAAACTTAGCATCTATTCTTAGGGATTCCAATGGCAAATTTCATGAAAATCATCTTGTCTAACTGGAGGCAATGCAACCATCGTTTTTGGTTTAACAATGACCTTGATCTTTGCCTCATGACATTTGCCATGTTGCCCCTTCATCGGTAGGATACTTTAATAGGCTTACACTAGCTATGCACCTACCAAGTTTCATGACAATACATTATGTCTACCGTAATTTTCGGAATATAAGCTACGTGGAGTATAAGCCGCAGCACGCAAAAATCTGCAAATTAATATTTGAAGTCGGCGTATAAGCCGCACCGGCGTATAAGCCGCACTGACAGCAGCGGTTTCAATTTGGTATTGGCCTCCAAATTGTAGTCAAAATGCTCTGAACCAGTTCCATTTACACTACGAAAACTATAAAAAGGGCCACAAAAGTTATATCAAATCATTTACAGTCGATACTCGATACAAGCAAATATGGAAATGGATGATGAGAAATAAACACCGGGAATTGCTGCCAGCTGGCCCGTCCGGTCCCCTGCCTTATTAATTAAAGTTTAATAGCGAATGGCCTGGCAGCCTGCGCCGGCGAATGACAACATTTTCCCGCTTGCAACGATCGACCAGCCGTACGTACGGCGCCCTGTTTGCTTTCCTGGCCCAATGCAGACCATACCATTTGTGGTAATAAAGGGGTGTACTTCCTTGGGGACAATAATTACCAATATTTCTGCAGTTTAAAAAAAAGGAAAAAGACAACTAATACTTTTTATGGAGTTCGAAACATTTCTTTATTTGATAATCAGTTGTTCAACATCACAATATATTTTTTTTTCTTGAAATGTATTCAAGAAACGATGTAAAACTCCAAACAGGGGCTAAATCACCCTGTATGAAATTAATGGATTCGTCCATAAAAATGTCGGCATCGTGTTGACTGTTTTCGAAGAAAGTTACGATCAAAACTTGATTTTTTGACGTAACTACTCTTTAGTAATAACAACAATTTGATAAGTTTTGTTATAAAAACGGACCTGTTCATTCTTGGTACAAAACAAATCAGCATCTGTTGCCACAAAGCAAGATTTGTACTTGTAGCGCTTCAGTCAGACAACACATGGTGGGATACTCTCTCAACCATGCTGCTTTCACTCACGCATGGCAGGCCGGCCTGCCGTACTTTTTACTGCTCGGTACCTTTTTGTGGGACGTGCTTTCGGTTTGTTAATGACTTTCTTAACTGAGAACTGATTTCAGCAACAGATCTTTTCTTATACCAGTACATTACATACACATGTAAATTTCATTTTTATCCTTCAAGGCTCGGTGTATAAGCCGCCCTGTTTATAAGCAGCAGTAAACAATTTCATGGGCAAATTCAACGTATAAGCCGCAGCTTATATTCCGAAAATTACGGTAATTTCAAATACCCCAATAACATTTCTGCATGTGTTTACACCATCGACCTTGACATCCATATTCAATTCGTTTTTTCCGGGGTTCACTGACATACTGTCAATTTGAAACTTACTGTGAGTTTATCCTTACTTCTTGGTTTTAACTAAATTGGCCTTGTAATTTGACCTGTAGCCTCTCATCGCCGATTAGGTCTGTTGAGGTTCCACTTGCAAACTATTTGTTAAGCTTTATGAAATATATCAAGTCCAACTTCAATTTCAATTAATTTGCCATGCCTTAACTTTCCCTGAGTACATGTCCGTCATAGGTCATGGTGTACCTCGTTGCAAATGAAACCAGCGTTACTTTGACCTTTTGACACCTGTTGCTACATGTAGGTGCGTATAGCGCCCTACATGTGGTCAAAAGAGTGTTTAAAATTGGTCACAATCATTGGAAGTAGAAGTAACATACAATATTTGCTTGCTGTAATTTTCAGAAATGGATGGATTGGGGCGTTCGTATTTTATAGCAAATACACTGACCTGTTTAAAGTTTTGTGTGAATAGATGCTGGAAAAACAAAGAAAAACAATTCTGTTCTTGTAGACTGGGTCCCTGATCCTACTTGAAACGAAACAGAGCAATTTCTAGACGTCGGGGGAATTGTCAGGTCAGGGAACCAGACTAGCTGGCACACAAAAGCGAGCGATTGCACACAAAATGTGGACTAACAAAGTTTGGTAAATTTGGGGCAGTATTTTGGGGGAAAAAAAGGACTTTGTTTCCAGCGATGGTTGGCCTACCACCGTTGGAAATTTATACCAAAATTCCACTTTTCTTGAAAATGACAGCACTTCAGGGGCCACAATTTCACAGGAGACTTTTATTCCCTTTACATTCAAGTAATGTATTTCATAATAATTTTGTGGGTTCATTTGTTGATGTTTGCAAATGTTGTATATTACTTTTAAGCAGTGTGTAAATGTTCCCAATTTTCTGTAAACCTAGTTTATTTGAGAGAAATTTCTCAGGAATTCCTTGGGATCAGAGTGAAAGAAAAATTGCTAGAATGTTGAAGGAACTAGTGCTTTAAAAGTCCGTCCATTGCTTTTATAAGTTGTATAAAGTTATACTGCGTGTGCACAATCACGTCTAATTTATAATGACGTTTTTTTTTATTAAGAGGAAATAATGATAAAAGTAGAAAATATTGTTTTCTGAAAAGTTTGTGTAGATATTTTGTAAATAGCGAGGAAGTTTTTAGCAAGTTAATGCATTGTGAAGTGTGCGTTTTATATTTGTGTGTAAATATTATAACTTACAGTAAACTTCGGCTAAACCCGCACTCTTGGGACCCGAAAATTTGTGACGACTTACGCGAATGCCGATATATAAGCTATAAGTTGTCATTTTGCCGACTTACATGAATGGTCTTTTGTGCACATGATTCATTGCAGTAATTGGCTTCGATTGTCTCCTTAATGCTTGAGTTGAATCCAGCAAATTAATCCTCGAATTGTATCATCACGTTTGGGGTATTGATAGTGGAGACCCTGATACAAATGTACGTGCACAGTAACAAATTAAATGTGTGTGTGGTCCCGTATATACCACGCATGCATTGACTGCAGCAGTAGTCATTCAATAAGATGACCCCCAAAATGGACAGAGCACATGCGTACAGCCTAGAGGGGGCAATGCATGCAGCAAAGATCATATAGCGCTGCGTAGTGGTATGCAGTAGGACACCCTTTTTCGACACTGATGTACGGCAGCGATCATAAAGTAAAGGAAGTCGATGCCAATGCGTGATTTGTTGAATGCCGGCTTACACAAAGGATTTTGTAATGCTTTTTATGGAAAGGGGACCGAAAGTAACACGAGCAAAATGGCGACTTGATATAAAAGCCGACTTGAAAATAAAAAATTCAATGGAAATGCATTACGGACAATCGGGACTTTAGTCAGATGGCCGATTTGACGAGTTGTACGATGTCGATTTAGCCGGAGTTTACTGTAGTAGTTATTTCTGCTGGACAGATGCACTTTCCAACCAGTTTTCTAGACAAATAATGTTCGAATAATGCTTCTCTTGCATCATCAGGAATATCTGATTTGAAAGTAAATTTTTGTCCACATGTTTGACACTGAATGGCACACCTCTAAAATAAAATGTATGTGTTGTGATGGGGTTCTTGGGCATCTTCTCTGTATTTTGCCAACAATTTAATTTTTTTTTAGCCAAAATGCAAAAACAAACTGCAATTCTAATGAATTTTTGGCAAAAATTTCCAATTAAGGAAGTAGTTCCTTTGGATGCAAGAGGAACAATAATCAATATCCGAATACTCATCATGTTAAAACTTTTGTAAAAGATCATTGATTCATTCCAGAAAATGTTTTCTTTTAAATGGTACATTTGTTCAAAAAGAACCCGAGTGTTCTTATTTTGTATTGGATTACACTGGCAATGCATCTGATATTTACATGTGATTATGTTGAATTACAGTAAAACGTGATTAGTTTTACATTCAAATTATTACTTTGATAGGTTTTTGAGAGTAAAAAATGTTTAATATAAACAACATTTGTATTTGGTGTCCAGTCAATATGCCATTTTAAATTTTAATATGCCCTTGTTTTTTCCTTTGTAAAAATGGCAGACATTTCACCATGGCTAATCGGTAGTTGTTTGTGTCGTCTTGTAAATTTTTAATAAATGTTCTGTTTTTGTTTATGAAGAAATACCTGATATTGTATTTTTCTTTGTCATTTGTTTCACGTCTGACCCACCCCTAGCAGAGTTGACCTAAATTTGCATGTCATTCAACTTCCATTAAAGGTGTAGGAAGGCCAGCCCACCGATCCACGCCCCAGCCAAGCCCCCAGATCCAGGCCCCGGCCCAGCCCCCGAAATCCAGGCCCCGGCCCAGCCCCGGGATCCAGGCCCCGGCCCAGCCCCGGGATCCAGGCCCCGGCCCAGCCCCCGAAATCCAGGCCCCGGCCCAGCCCCGGGATCCAGGCCCCAGCCCAGCCCCCAAAATCCAGGCCCCTGCCCAGCCCCGGGATCCAGGCCCCAGCCCAGCCCCCAAAATCCAGGCCCCGGCCCAGCCCCCGGGATCTAGGCCCCGGCCCAGCCCCTGAAATCCAGGCCCCGGCCCAGCCCCTGAAATCCAGGCCCCTGCCCAGCCCCCGAAATCCAGGCCCCGGCCCAGCCCCGAAATCCAGGCCCCGGCCCAGCCCCGGGATCCAGGCCCCGGCCTAGCCCCCGAAATCCAGGCCCCGGCCCAGCCCCGGGATCCAGGCCCCAGCCCAGCCCCCAAAATCCAGGCCCCTGCCCAGCCCCCGAAATACAGGCCCCAACCCAGCCCCCGAAATCCAGGCCCCGGCCCAGCCCCCAAAATCCAGGCCCCGGCACAGCCCCCGAAATCCAGGCCCCGGCCCAGCCCTCAAAATCCAGGCCCCAGCCCAGCACCCGAAATCCAGGCCCCGGCCCAGCCCCGAAATCCAGGTCCCGGCCCAGCCCCCGAAACCCTGGCCCCGGCCCAGCCCTCAAAATCCAGGCCCCGGCCCAGCCCCCGAAATCCAGGCCCCGGCCCAGCCCCCGAAATCCTGGCCCCTACCCAGCCCCCGGGATCCAGGCCCCGGCCCAGCCCCCGAAATCCAGGCCCCGGCCCAGGCCCTGGCCCAGCCCCCCAAATCCAGGCCCCCCAAATCCAGGCCCCTGCCCAGCCCCCGAAATCCAGGCCCCTGCCCCAGAAATCCAGGCCCCGGCCCAGCCCCCAAAATCCAGCCCCCGGCCCAGCCCCGGGATCCAGGCCCCGGCCCAGCCCCCGAAATCCAGGCCCCTGCCCAGCCCCCGAAATCCAGGCCCCGGCCCA